GATACCTTGATTATCAAGCAATATTCCCAAACCTAGTGGCCGTGAAGGAGATGACCTGTTCTGTGAGCAAATTCTGTGTCAGAAAATTTGCTTCCTTGGCTGGGATCCCCAGGGGCTGCATCCACTGGGTTTATGGCACAGCATAAAAAATCTGAAATGAGTTATAAGAAAAAAAAGAGTCCTGACATGTTTTAAGTATAATTACTAGAAAATAGATTGTATTATTTTGTTCTCTTATTGTATGATATATTTCTCGAATACAAATTCAACCAAGCAGGTGCAAAATTATACTGACAAATTGACTGAGACAGACAATGTACAAATGCTCATGTATGCATTGAATACAAGTTAGTCATAAAACAAGACTGAGGGAATATAGGTAGTAGAGTATAATAATACTGTAAATAGTATTGACTTAGTACTGAGGGTTGGCATGACAATGTATAAAGTGAATGTAACTTGTGAACCAAAAGGAAGAAGTGAGATCCAGACTGAAAGGGAAAATTAACTAAGGTCTCCTTAGTCCCACTTTAATTTATGTCTGTTACCAAAAGTGTACAGCCAAAGTTGGTTTAACAGTTGGTGAATAAAGTTTCATTGATTTATATTCTGAGTTTAAATCAGAATCTGAAACTGGTTCATGAGGAACCCCACTCCAGAGTGTGTTCCCTGCTGCCCGGGTGGTACAGATGATGGTAATGTTCATGGTGTGGTTATTGTTCTGCTTGTGGGGTCATTCAGTCTGTTGAATGTTGTATTTTTGCAGAGTAAAAAAGGAAAACAAGGTGGAAATGTTCATTCTGAAGATAAGTGAACTTTTTTAGGCTGTGCTACTTCCCTTGAGAGGCATTAAATGTTAAACTGTTTAACATCTGGGAGCGTCTGTCCTCATAGTCCAGCCTGTGGATTGACTCAGTCCTAAACTTCCATGGAGATTTAAAGAATGAACAGGAAGTGCTTAACTGTTTTGACCCAGTCTAATTTTAGAACTGTAGAATATGTAAGCAATTGTTAGTTATATTTTAAAATATACATATACATATGTAAAAAAAAATATTTTGCATAAGGCCCTAATTACATAACAACTGAATTTTTTTAGTTCAAGATAGTGTAGTTCAAGAAAAGTAGTTAATTTGACAGTTGTCTGAAACTTTCAGAATTATTTATTCATGTAAAAAGGCTATCATTTAACTTTTATACATTAATTGGTTTTAAATACTCAATTAGATGAATTATTGTAGTCTAATCCCATGGTAATTCAGTCTCCCTTTCTACCAATATGGCAAGTATCTAAAATGGGACATACAGTTTCTGTGAATATTTGTAGCTCAGTGTTCTGCCTTGTTTTTCTACTCAGGGCTTTACATTATTTTTTCAATAGCAGAAAATGACAAAGGATTTTTTACCTGATACTTATCTTTCATGTTAAGATACTTCTGGAGTACTTTGCATTTTTCTCTTTTTCTTGGGTAGTCAGGTGTTGCCCTCCAATAGGAAATTTTAGATCACTTCTAAGAAGTATGTCAAGGACATTAACTGGCTGAACATGTCCGTTTGTTGCAGTGCAGCAGAGATTTTAAAGTCTTTAGTCAGCCTAAAGTCTTTTATCCACTGATACTATTAGGAGTAAGTCACAATACTCTATTGAGCGTTTTTTATATTCTCTAGAGGATATAGCAAATGTGAGAATGGATAAGCAAGCATATTATCCCCCCCATCAGTGTTTAACAAAGATTGTTGCTTAATATTTCCATTCTTGTTCTGAGATACATTTCTACAATGTTAGTTTACTATGCTTTACAAAAAGGTGATTCTTAATAACAATGATTTATTCCATTCTGTACTATTTAACGATGAAGTATTTTTTAGTAGATTTGACAATTTAATGCTTATTCGTATCTGTATTTTTGGTATTGAAATGAGTAGTAGCATAGAAAGCATCAAATCTGTCAGTCCTTAATTTTTAAATTCAGGAAAGTTATGGGATTTTGTATGACTATTAAACCCCAGTAATTTATGTTATATTTTGTTTTCAAGTAAGATGTGTGATATCACTAAATTCAGTGCCTATGGGACTACAATTTTTCTTTGTGGCATGCCTAGTTCTGCAAAAGTTAACTGTCTTTTATGTAGGGTAACTTGAGTGATAGTTACAACTGAGAGAATTGTAGAAGAGTTGAATAAGATACGAATTTGAGCTGCTAGGATGTGGACATACCCTCATTGCAGCAACACTGCAAGGTTTTTAAGTTGATGTGGAGGAATCACAACATTTTAATTTTTGGATGATCATTCTCATAAATTCCAATTTTCAGAAATGTAAGCATGAATGCATAATCATATCTTGATGCCCTTTTAACAGTTCGTCTGTGTAATGACAAGGTGAACTTATTAAAGGCTTATTAAGGGACATGTGTGCCTAGTATTTACATATCTTTCATATTGGAGTCCAGAAATTTCTGTTAGATGCCTAAACTCCTTTTGCAACATACTGGAAGAGTTCAGGGTATGAGAAAGATGCCCAACACAATGAGTTCAGCCAGCTAGGGGGTTTTCATTGTGGTTTTATATAAAAAATTTGTGGCTATTATTTTCTAACACAGGATGGTAGCTAATACGAACATTTAGTAAACTCATCTAAAAGAATTCCTTCTTTTTATACATGTTCTTCTACATTTTCTTCTGTTAATGGATTAATTTGATCCACTTATCCACTTATGTGTGTATTTTTTAAATAATATTTCTGATTTGAGCCTTTTTCTATTGCACAGTGCAAATATAATCAAATTGTTTATATAAACTAAATCTATTGAGTAACATCTTCAGCATGTTCCAACAGCAGTAGCGTTTTTCATGTTGAAAGAAAATAGACACTTAAATAACTACTGTCTATTTATTTTATTATTGATTTTCACATAGTACTCTATTTTGTTAATTATTTATTTTTCTAGAACAGGTGACCTAGAAAGAAAAGCAATCGACTATTTGCAATATTCTAATTGTGACTAAACACTAAGACAGACATTGAACTCTTGGGATGTGTTATATCAACTCATAAATATATTCAGTTCTATTTAATTTTTCAGTCTGCCATAGGCTATCCAGTTTAAAGAAGTGCCTGTTTAATGGTACCAGTTTTAGTCTTTAGAGCCCTTCTACCAACCTTTCTTAAGATTCTTGAGATTTTTCCACTAATCCGAGAAGAAAGAACAGACAGAATAAAGTCCTCTTCCAATAATTTCCTTATCATCTCATTGTACAAATACATATTTAGATCCAGAATACCACATAAAGCCCATTCTGCAATCCACTTCCAAAATTTCTTTATGTTAAAACTGCCTGTTTCACTTCTGGACACAGAGACTCTCTTGACCCTAGTGTTATGCAAGAGCTTATTGTTTCTCCTAAATTAAAAAGCCTTCCTAGAATGTGCACTTAGATGTAAATTGCTTGACTGTGGTAGTTCATTCAAATACAGGCCCATTTAAGGAGTTTTAAAATCTGCTTTATTGGAACCCTGTGGCTTTTACAGCACATTAGACATAAATTAAGCAACAGGGAACCTTCTCTCCCTTTATTTCCAACTGTCCTTTCCAGGCCACGTGGCATGATATTGTCTTTAGAATTATTTATATATCGCCCTCTTTGTTTTATCATGTATTTTAATGTGGCAGATTTCTGTCCTCTAACACTATGCCAGTTGTCAGAGTAATCCTGGGTGGAGCAGGCAGGGATTTTTGGTAATCAGAAAAATATAGCATGATTTTTGGTTTCAGGTATTCAGGTTTGCTGTCATGAAGTAGGGGATGCATTTTCATGCCCTCTTTTTTGAGAATAAATTGAAGTAATTCCTTATGTAGAAAATTATTTTTGCTTGTCATCTTGGCAAAATACTGTATTTTTAGCCAAGCCGAGGTGATGATGGATACCAACTAATAAAGCTAAAATTGTTGTCTGGTAGAAGTTTTAGTATATTTTAAGATGAAAAGTTATGTCATGCCTTCCTCAATCACTTGTGAGCAACTCTGAGACTCAGTTCATATCTTTAAAAATGTTTTACCAGCTGTAACATATAGGGACTACAGACTAGATCATAAGAGCAGCATGGAGGATTTTGAGGTGGGCTAAAAGTTTAGCCTGGGGTAGGACAGCAGTGGGTCCCAGGGACGCTGTGTGATAACTTGGTGGGAGAGCAAGCTCAAGGTGTTGTTTGGCACAGAATAAACCATAATAAAGATTGTTCTCCTGTATTCTGTTTGTACCTCTGAGAAAAGAAAGCCCTCTAGAGCTGTAGGCTGGGCTGAGCTGCATGTCAGCTTTTACTACCTACTTGCCCATACCTGTACAGGCAGAACAGTGTTCAGCACCAGTATGACTCTTCCTGCAACTGCTTCTTGAAAATTAAACTTGTGAAAATCCTGTAACTCACTGATATCGACTACCAGTATAAGTTGTAGTATGAATTATGGGAACCAGCAAATCTCTCTGTGGCTGGGGTTTGGTAATGACCTGGTGATCTAAGGGCACATTACTGCACTCTTAGAAATGGCTCTGCAGTGAGATATCTTACTTAGAGGGCACTGGCAGCTGCTGACACTGCTCCTCCTAATTTGTGATTTCCCTGAAGACTGCTTGGGGGCTGGCACATGCTCCGCCATAGCTCTGTGCAAGCATGGCAGCAGAACTGAAAGCTGAGCATAGTATATGGCTTGCCAACTGCTTTAGGATTTCTCATTAGTAACTTGACTTACCCCAAATCAATTCAGAGCACTAGTAGCTAGAAAAAAAAAATCTTGTATTCTATCAAATGTGTTGAAATTAATAACTGAGGTAAGTAAATGTAATGCTTCGTGATGTTTTAGATGGATGCTTTGAGAGTTCTCTGCAATTTTTATGATTTTAAAAAGATAATTTATCAAAATCATCTTCTGTGTATATGTTTGTACATTTGTATGTGTTTGCAAGGGAAATCTTCATGCTATTTATCTCTTGTTTTGCAGACAAAACCTGTTGCATTTGCAGTTCGGACAAATGTTGGATACAGTGCAGCTCACGATGACGATGTTCCGGTCCCAGGCATGGCCATCTCATTTGAAGCTAAAGATTTTCTTCATGTTAAAGAAGTAAGTAAAACTAGAGAAGTGAATCTCTCCTTAAGGGTCTATTTGAGTAATAGTGCTACTATTTCTTAACATTAAGATTACACTTCATATTGTCAAATCACTATACAAATCTTATATAAATAAGCTAACTGTGTATAAAGAAATTAATGTTCTTTGAAATACTGTTCTTATAAAAGCAATGGCACAAATTCCTTACAATTAAGTGCTTTTCTTCTCTAGTAAAATTCGCTTATTTAGAGCTTTAAAAATGTACATCTGCCTGTTCAAGGATATAATATTTCTGGGTTTTACAGTTCTAATACTCTGAGGGTTCATTGTGATTCAACAGCCAAGGGTTGATTCTCTTTTATTTACGTGACTGAATCTCAGTTAACCCCAAAGTCCTCAGGTCTCATTTTTTTCACTGAAGTTACTTCCCTGGCACAGACAATATTTTGTTAACAGTTACATGATGTGATATTTCAAGATGCACTTTGCAACTGTCTAAAAAGGTGCTTTGCATTTACTGCATTGGTTTTCTTTTCCTGTAGTTTGGCTTTGAAAATTTTAAATTCTTACAAAAGGCTAAAGCCATTTTTTTTCTCTGCTCCTTGCAAGACAATCCAAAGCAAATAACTTGGTAACTTTCCTATACAGACCCTCCTTAGCAGCCCGCTGCTCCCTTCTGAATGTTTTCCTCATTTTACAAGATTTCCCAGCTTCTGGTCATATTCCATTGTGTTTTGTCAAAAAATGATCCATCTGGAAATGGAAATTTATAGCAGAAGAACTAGAAAGTTAGCTTAAGGATGAGAGCAACTTGGCCATGCATTTCAAATTATATCTTTACCCCATTTTAGATTATTGAAAAATCACTCAGTAGTTATGATTGATGATGCACAATAATTCTGCTAGTGCAGGTGCTTTGCAGAAGCAAGAAACTTTCCTAATACACAGGTAGAAATACAGTGGACAGAAACTAAAGAAACACAAATGGGTTTATAGTGCCCTCATACTGATGACTAATGATCATCATTTTCCATATATATTAAACACACAAAGAGGGATAATTTGGATTCAAACTGTAGGTAATGAAGGAAATACATTTTCTGTCTGATGATAGTACCAAATAATTGCTCTGCTCTGTCTTGTGACAAAAGTAGAGATGAGCAGGCACAGCATCCTGACAAAAGAAAACTGTCAGCATTCTCCAGTGAGTATGGAAGCACTGGAAAATAGAGCTCAGTTTTGTTAGATGGAATGATTTTGTAGAGTCATCTATTCCATCTGCATTTTGAATAAGCTTGTAATCTCAGACCTCACGTTAAGTATTTCCCCTGTTTCCATATGAACCTGAAACACAGTATTTGCAGATTTTCTGCTAGAATTTATGCTTTTTTCCTCACAGCACAACTTAGACTCAGATGTAAATATGCATGGGACAAAATGAGGAAGAAAAAGTTTCCTGAACTTTTCTGGATCTCCAGAAACGGCTTGAAAGGAAGCTTAGCTCAGATGAGTTGTTAAATTGTCCGTGGCTGCATATAGCACTGAGGAATGGAAAAACAGATTAAAATGTTCTTGTAGATTCAATTGTAATAGAACAGCCACTCTGTGCTAATTGCCTTTAAAAATACCTGGTTTTCTCCCTAAGCAGTTAAGGAAAGTTGACTGTCTAGCTGTGCTAGGCCAGAGCTGGATTGTGGAAGGGACCCTGTGCCTGGACCAGGTACAGCACCAGGATGAAGAGGTGGGAAGGGACCTGCAAGGAGTCGGATTTGGACTTGGACGCTCTGGTCCTACATTTAGCAGAGTCTGTTGCATCTGGGTGGGTTGAACCTCTTCAGGAGGGAGCAGCAGCTCTTTCCTGCACAGCCATGTCCTCCTCCTCCATCTTCCATGGTTGTGCCCTGCTCATTCTACAGGACTTTATATCCCATCAGTTTTTGCTCATTCAGTAATTTTGGTGCTCTCTATAGTTAATGCTAGGAGAACTGAAGTGTCCAAACTTTAATTACTTATGCAGATGAAAAGTAAAAACCATATTTGACTATAAAATGCAGTGTTACTTTTATATCTTACACTTAATGGCTTGCGAGAAATAAAGAAATGTAAATTAATCTCTGATAACTTTTGTCTGCATAGTAATGTTGTATTGGATCAATGCTGTCCTCTTCTTGTCTATGAGGAGTGTTCTCCAGTTTGTGCCGCTGAGAGGACTCAAACAAGGAAAACCTCAGTTCAAGATGTACATGGGCAATAGTGAAAAGTACCGCAGTGATTGAGTATGAGGGAAATTTATTTTCATTATTAGGTTACATTCATTAAAACTCAGTATATATAAAGATTAAGGAGTGCTTTCTTCATGAAGAAACATGTGCTGCATCATAGTCACTCATGAATCTTTTGAAGCTTTCATGCATGGCCATAATTCTGCTTTGCATTTAATTAGTCTTTGTGTTTCCCTTGGCACTCCAAGCACAGGTAAATTGCAGAGAATCACACACCTGAGCCAGCATCTTGAGAGCTGGACACTCCGCTACCAAGATTTCTGCTATTGCTTTTTAAAATTAGAAAGTATAATGTGCAGTATTATTTACTTAGAGAAGTATCTTATCCTCCTTTTCATATACCAACCCAGCATTTATCTTTGAGACTTTGATGGAGTGAGTTCCACAGGCTTTTATTTTTGTATGATAAAAAAATTCCTACTGATTTAGCATTTCTATCAGTTATAATAAAATTGATGTTGTTGTGTAGTCTGTTGTACTGTAGGACAGCATAAAAACAGTGGCAGTTCAGATTTTAATTTAATGGTGTTTTTTAGTTATCAGTTTCTTCCTTTTACCAAGTTAATGATACTACTGCTGCAGACATCATGTATACCATAGAGCAGATCCATATAATGGCAACCTCCATTGACTCAATTGCTATAGTCTTCCTCCATCTATATTGTCCTACAATGTATTTTAAATGCACATGCGTATCTTTAGTTAGCATTTTGCAATGAAAGGTTAATATTTTAGTGATAAGTTTCAGTCTAATACAGCTTTGAGAAACTGCCATTCTGGATTAGCTCCCTATTATATGTTGGTATTCGTACTCATAAAGGCATCTCATTGGATGAATGTTACAGATCCCTTTATATTTTATGAGCATAAAAGTGTGTTTATGTAAATCTTTATTTTTTGTTAGCTTAATATCTTAAAGTTGGTTTCAAGCATCACAACATTTCTTTAGTAGCCAAAATTAAAGATATTACTGTGATTTAGGTTGTGTATAATTGATCCACCAACATTGCATTCTTGGTGAAATTAATTCCTTCTTATGGGAACCCACACTTTTTACATGTTTTACTCGTAACTGTACACTTGTTAAAATTACATTAAATAGTTAATGATGCACTACATTCATAGCTTCAGATTCAAGAAGGCAACTTCTGTTCCCATTCGGATGTTCTCTTACAGTGTCATAAATAATCCAAATTATCCAAAATTCATATTTGACAGTAGTTATTCCCATGGAACAGCTAGATTATTGCATTTGGGGACATACATAAGTGACCTATCTCATCCAAAAATAGTGAATAAATAATAAAGGAAAAAGCAAATATTTCTGTTCTACAAACCTCTGCAAAACAAACAAACAAAAACTCCTGTGTGTATATGAATAAAAATTATTAGAGTAGTCATTATCTCATATTTCATATAGCTGAAATTCAGTTAATTGGACTATCTTACGCATATGTACAATTGTAAGGTTTTAGTTATCCAAATATATCCATTCTGTGTGTATCTATCATTGTATGTTTAAGATGCAAATCCCATGAGCTGTATGCGGTAGAGCATATATAAACAGCAGAACGTAGTCATATTTCAGAAGATTTTAGTGAGTTCAGAGAGTTAGGGGAGTTTGAGAAGTAGTATTTTTTATTTTAAGTAGAGAACTGAATATAATGGAATAAAAAAAATAGATTATTACAGAGCTGTAAAAATTGTTGCAGTGGGTAGAAGCAGATCAGAAGAAGTCTCTGGTGTCCAACAAGAAGAAACGTCTGGGAGAAGAAAAGCAGCTCGCATGTATGAGGGGAAAAGAATGTGAAGCAGAAGAAAATAAAGATGGTAAAACAGGTGGAAATAACAGCCAGGGAGAATCATGAAGTCTGTGAAGGAAGGTTTCTGCTTAAGTACTGTAGCATTTTAATAATTTCCAAGATATAATTATTTTCATGTATTTCTGAATATTACCACAATTCTTCATTGCCATAATTGCATAGTACAGTGATTAACTGCAGGGAAGAATTACATAAAATGGCCTAGCTGCAAATTAAAAATAATAACAAAATGATCCCATATACAGTAATTTCTTAGTACATGACTTTTTTTTTTTTTTTTTTTTATCTGTAGAAATTTAATAATGACTGGTGGATAGGACGATTGGTAAAAGAAGGCTGTGAAATAGGATTCATACCAAGCCCAGTCAAACTAGAAAACATGAGGCTGCAGCATGAACAAAAGGCAAAACAAGGAAAATTCTACTCCAGGTAATAACAACATAAATAGTGTAATTGGTTGTGACACAACTTGAAAGTTAATGCTGTGTATGCTATAGCTCTGTTTAATTGTTGTAATTGGCAGCTACAAACATTTTGAATCAATGGAGGTAGAAATAATTATTTATATAATTAATGTCATTGTCATTTAAGAGAAGATGTAGATATTTAGACTGGTGGTCTGTGGTGGCCTACAATGGCTATTATTCCATTTTATTTTCATAAGATATTTGCAAATATATATTGCAGTTAGTGCATTTACTATGTGGAAGTGCAAGTTTTTACTTAAAAATTGATCTTCCTAAATTCTTTAGCATTTGTTTCTTGGTATCATGATCCTGCAATTTCTAAACACTTTTAAATCTGGTTTTAGAAATTACAGAAAATGTTAATATTAATTTATTTATAAGTTGAAGCAAGTGCCTGTTAATTAGCTCTTAGGGAAAAAAAATGTTCTGGTCTTGTCAAGTTCCTTTCCTGCAAATACAGCTTTTATGAATACTGCATTTTATGATGGAAGTTTCATGTCAAGTCATTTGTTGTCTCTGACTGCAGCCATCGTTACATAAAAATAAAGATTCATTATCTAAATGTATTGAACAGTACGGCAAGATGGTAATAATGTCATCTTTGCTGTAGAGTTCTTAATAAAGTAGTTTTCCAGTAAACATTAACACATATGGAAGCAAATGCCCCTTGCTTCCCTTTGGGTATATAGGAAACAAATATTTCCAGTATGTCTGAGTGGGATGGACCTGAAATTGAGAAAACGGCTGGGAAGCATTTGGGAAGCCAGAAGGGCTTGCCCGCTTCAAAAGGAAGGGCAGCAGTGTTTGAAGAGCATGTCTGCGCTAGGAGACCAGGGTGCTGCAGCGCTGCATTCACCAGCCCTGGAGTGCCTTGCCTACCTACGGGTGTGCCATCCTCGGCAGGAGGACGTTGGGTTCCTTACTGCTCTCATGACGCTTCTGATACAGCTGAATCTGACCCAGTGATTCGGTCCCTTTCCAAATTGTAAAGGCTTCCATTCTCCACAACTTCTCACTGGAGATAACACTGTCCTACACTGCAAATGCATTTACTTAGTGCTTATTAATATTTTAAGATGGAGAAAGTGGAAACTAGTACTAGCACATGAATTATTTGAAGAGTGAAATAGCCTTTCTTACATTCTTTCCAGTTCTTTTCTCATTACGGTAATGGAAATAAAGTGACTAAAAATATTATTTCATTTTCACAACTTGAGTAGGTTTTCACAAAGCAGAACTTGATAAAAACCTAGACTTCTTTATCTTCATTTGAGAGGCTTTTTCTTCCTAAATGCTACCTTGTATTGAGACAGCAAAAGAATTTGTACTTTCATTAAATTAAAAAGATATTAGGCAAACACACTATCATTTTCATTAGAGGGCTATCAATAACTCTTCTGTTAAATAAACAGATATGCTCACTGGCTTAAGAATTAGTTGTAGTAATGAGCAGCAATATTAACAATTGTATATCAGTAGTCATATTAATAATTGGATTGCATTAAGGTCATGAAGTAGTGAGAGCATATGCAGCAGAATGAAGTTGCACAGCAGAACAAAGAGCATGATTCATGTTTGTAGGTCCTCAGTCCTCAAAATATGTGGGCATTTTGTGTAAGGTATGTATTTTATACCACTGCCAGAAGTACTGCTTGTCTCTTGGCTAGCAGCATATTTAGAAGGCAGGTAATAAATAAACTAGAATAAATACTGAAAAATCTATGAAACTTCAAACTAATTTGTTGCTTTACTCCAGTAAATCAGGAGGAAACTCTTCATCCAGTTTGGGTGACATCGTTCCTAGTTCCAGAAAATCGACGCCTCCATCATCTGGTGAGTAGGTCACGAACCCTTCAGTTTACGGACTCATGCACCTAATCTGTTAAAATTTGTATACATTTAGTCCTGTTTTTCTTATTCCGTGTACTTCATAGGTATAAGGTTGGGTGGCTGCATTTCCCTGTAAGGATGGTTTGGATTGGTTTGAAGTAATGGAGTCAATGCCGGCGAGTTCAGGCAATGATAGGACTGTTAACAATGCACAAAATTTCCTCTTTGCTTTTACCATGATGTTTTATAGCAAAGACATGATAAAATGATGAGACTGTGTTTCAGCAGGACAGTTAGAGGTTTGGTCTGGTGAATAAGAAATACCTTCTTGTACAGGATAAAAAGCAGCAATAAGAATAAAAATTCCCAAGAGCTTTCTGCAGTAGCATCAAGAATGGCATTATTTTATAACAGGAACTTATAGTTTCACAGTTCTGACAATGAGGATGTGCTTCACATAATTCTAGCATACTGGATATCTTTTGCCTCTTGTGACAAATTTCTCACAAATACACGTTTGTGTTTAGAGCATCAAGGGACAGATTTAACTTTAGTTAGGTTGGATTCAAGAGGTATGAAGCAAATACATGGTGAGTTGATGGAGGAAGCTGGCATTAGCTCCTTGAAAAAAACATAGAAGATTACCAAAAAAAACCACCAAACCTTCTAAATTCAGCTGCTGCAGTGCTGAACGATTTATATTTTCCCGAGAGAGAAAATGTACATTTTGAATATCCAAAATCAGAAAATATTAATTAATGTTGCTAGTGCCTTGTCTACTGAGGCAAAAACATCTATTTTCCAATCATATTTGTTTATTTGGAGCCTGGCCTACAGAGCAGGCATCTTAAAATGAACCCGAAGATTTTAAAGTATTTGCATGGACATTAAGAGAGCAAGAGAGGAATTCAGTCAAGTTATGGTAGTAGCTTCATTTGATTAAATTAATTGAAAAATATATCTGTCTGTCTTGTGAAACCATGAATTTGTTTGTAACAACTAACGTCATGACAGTTGCAGTTTGTTTATCAAAATTTCACTTAAGTTCCCTGCCCCTCTTTTTTTGTGGAAAATATATTTTTAGTTTGCTAATATATGTTCATCACAAGTCTGTAGAACACACCTTAATTTTTTATTTTACTATGGCTTTAAACTGTCATATGTACTGTTAAGGCCCACTTTTTCAACAGTGCATTTTTGCAGTAAAAGTGTCCATGGTCCGATGTTGCAATTTTATATTTAGAGCATCTGAAATGCTATAATATTCTTTTCTATCCTAAACACACTTGGAAATCAGTACATATGAAATTTCCAGAATGTTACACAGAATTTAGAGTTAAGAGAGCAGATAGCATACTTAGGTTACCAACTGACTGATTTCTAGCCATCTGTAATTGTCATTGCATTGAATTGTTTCTTCAGACAGTAGTTTTCAGAAACATGGATTTCTGGAGAAAGAATGAAATCTCGTAAAGGTTATTCAGTTACATTGAAGATTTGGAGAATATTTATGAATAGTGCACATTATCTTATTCCATGATCTTAAGACTTTGGGTCTGCAGTATATTTTTTTTGCTTAAGACATCCCAAGCAGGGTGAAAAAGGCATAGTTTGTGACTAACACAAGAGCTCAAGTGACTTTGAAGTACAGTTCAATTATTATTCCCAGGCCTCCTCTTTTTGAAAGTATAATAAATGACAAACAGATAAATTATTTAATGAGTTGAAGAGATTTTAACTGAATAAATTAACTTAATTTTTTGATAAAAAATAACAAACAAGATGAAGAATCAGTGAAAAACAAAAGGAGGCTCATATCCATTTAAATAATCAATATTATCTCTCTATATATAATCAATCCATACAGTCCTCATGGGCTACCAAACAGCATGAGGATAATGGTGAAAATTACTTTGAAAAAAAACCCAATGATCTAAAGATAATTAACAGTAAAAGAACTATCATGGAAGATGTTACATAGTGTGAAGACTGAGAATGAAAAAATGAGATATTGATATCTAGTTGATCAAATGCTGTGTTTCTTTTCTACATGAAAAACTTAACTTTACCGACAATTTTAGTTGAACATAGAACTGAAGGAGTTTTAATATGCCTTATTATGAGTGATTTATAGCATCTATTCTGGCCTGTATTCAAGAAAAGATAATATGTTCTTTTTATACTTGTGAAGAGGATGAAGGAACAGTGTTGCTAGAAGAAAATGTTATGTGATTTCTGTGGCTGTTTTTAGGAGCAGGAGTGCAGAATCAAGGTGCAGATCTACTCACAGGCTTTCCTGGCAAGGACAGGCTCAAAGGCACGGTTCTGTAACTCAAGGATTGTCAGGCATCATGGCATTAGATGGGTGGATAAATCAAATGGGAAAATAATAATTGTATATCAGTAGCCATATTAATAATTTACTCAAACAGAAGAGATCAGTGTCCCTAGTGTCTCTTAAATCAATAGCTGCATGGGGGCTTGGCAGAGATATTTATTTGTTGCATAATTTAATAGCACATGCCGTGGTATTAGTTGATGTCTCACTCATCAAGCAGCTGAAAGCAGGTCACTACAGTGGTTTCATAATAGTTTGAATTTATTAATTATGGGTTTGCATAAAGTCAATGCAAACGATACTGCTTATAGATCCACTTAGATTTTGATTCAGTTTGACGTAATGGCACGGCAAGGTAAGCTTGTGTTACCAGAGTGTGTCAAGAGGTGGGTAAGATCTTTACATGCAAGGGTGATGATGTACAGAATGTTTGTGGATCACTTTTCTGTGTGTACTTGCTTTTTGAAGACCAACTTAATATGTTATTTAAGATCAGGGTTGAGCATTGTAAACAAGAAAGCTTTTTTTTGATTGCTTTGTTTTTGTTTTGTTTAGGATGTAATTAGCAGGTGTCTGTTGGACTCAGCATTCAGGAAGACATGGCTTTGCATTTTGAAAATACATTTATTTCAGAGTCTATAATGATTTTTGCTTAAACTGTTGTTACTTGCTGAAGAGTTAAATATTTTATATTTATGGTATAAGCATCATGTGCTGTATAATCTTTTGGGGCAGAGATTGAACAGCAGTGGTTTACTGTATTCACTTCCATTTTGCCCTGGCTACATCCTTGCTCTTTACAACAGGATCAAGGTCCTGAGACAAGCTGGGATCAATTTCCTCTCTTCTGCTACCCATTCTTTTTAGGTTTCACTATTAGTGGGTCTGTTTTTATTATTTCTAATTAATGTATCTTACAACTACTGTGCATTTTTAGTTAAAATGGTTAAACATACCAATTTTAGTCCACCCTGAGATAAATGTAGATACCATTGTACTACTATCAGGCTGATTTTGTCTTCAGAAGTGTATTTTCTTCTGTTTCATAATTTCCTATAGACACACTAGTGACATTTCAAATTTCAGTTGATGATGCCCATTTTGAATTAATGTTCATTGCTATAAAATACTTCAAATGTTGTTGGCCAAGTTCTGTTTACATTGGTGAAAGTCTTATCCCAGTGAACTAGCTTGGATTTACACTGGTGTAACAGGAACGAACTTGGCCATTGCTCTGTTTTGTAAGAGTAATTCTGTGTATGTCTGATGTAGCTGTGGAAAGGTGGATCAGAGGAAAATGTTATAGTAGCTGTTACAGATTACCTTCTGTCTTCTAATCCTAATGTAATGCACCTTTAAATTTTTCCCTTTGTTTTATTGTGTTTTGTACTCATGGTCGATTTTTAAATTTTTATTTATTTATTTATTACTCTGGACAGTTTTATTTTCCTTTACCTGTTATTTCCTTTTTAACCTATCTTTACTTTCCCTGTCATCTGATAATTCTGAATTGTTTGTCTGTATATAGCTATAGACATAGATGCCACTGGCTTAGATGCAGAAGAAAATGATATTCCAGCAAACCATCGCTCCCCCAAACCCAGTGCAAACAGTGTAACATCACCCCACTCCAAAGAGAAAAGAATGCCCTTCTTTAAGAAGGTAACACCGACTTCCAAGCTCCCATCTGTCCACCTGCTCACCTGCACTGCGTCATATTTCTAGTCCTGTTAATTGTCTGCGTCCTTTGACAAGCCAATAACATGCATGCTTTGTTGTTCTTTGTTTCTTTTCCATGCTGCTGTAGCTAAGCAGAAGCAGAAATCGGTAAGTTTATATCAACATTACCTGTGTTTATCCTGCCACTGGCATCATTAGCATTATTACCCCAGATTAACAATGCAGTTGTTCTAGAATTAAGGAAGACATGTATCGAGCTGTTAGTGGATTCAGTACAAGAAAACAAACAGTACCAAGTTCAGTGCATCTGTGAAACTCTGCTACAGTACTTATCCTTTTTGATGGAATAATAAGATACACTTAGAAGACCTTCTAAAAGTTCAAGAAATTTAATTCTAACAATCCATATATTGCACCTCTTTAGTGCATGCTTATTCTTTCTACCTCTGTCTTTCTCAAGTTTTATTTTTCCTTGTAACTTAGTCTATTGAAATCATTATTGGAATCTAATCAGATACTCAGATTGTACTTAGAAAACAAATAGTCAAAACCACCATATTTTTAATTTAGTCAGTATTTAAACTTCAGCATTCAGTAGGTGCAAAATCTGCAGGTAAACAAGACGAGTGGAAAACCATAGACTTGTTTTGACAGTTTACTTTGAGTTTTTCCTGTTGTCATGTATAAATTATCAGCCAAATGTTCTTGCCATCCTTCAGTGAGACTTTTTTAGTATCTCAACTATTGGAAATTGTACTGGTGGTTCCCGGGAGAGCCAATGTCTCTCCGTAGATAACCCAGATAACTACAGAATTATGCAACTGTTACCCAGTTGCAGCAAACTGTAATACATTTCTAAGATCTTTCCTGGAATAAGTTGTCAAAACATTAAGTAGCAGCAAAACTATGCAGTGAAATACCACATTCTACTTTTTTTTTTTGTATTTAAATCTTTAATCTTCATAGCTCTTACTCATTTGATTTTAACAACTCACTTAAATCAACAGGTAACAGACTGTTATAGTGCTTATAAACAGTGCCAAGTGACACTGTTGCCCATGATGTGGATGCTCTCATGTTTAGTATATAAAACTTTTTTTCTCTCTCTTTTCTTCTTGAACTTTTTGAAATAATACTAGATTCGTCTCATTTCCAAAGTCACCAGTATTTGCTTCAGTAGAGTCTGTTAAGTACCGTATCATTCACAGCCTATTATGGAAATCAACAGCAGTGTATGGTTTCTTAGTAATTTCTTACTTAATCATATTTATAACTAAATATAAATGCTAAGGAAGAATAAGACATGTTGATGTGTATTGGATGCTGTCTGCATGAGCATCTTTCAGAGATGCAGCTTCTAGATAAACCATCTCGGACCTGGATGGTGGCTAGTCCCATCTCTTTCTTTATTCTGTGGTGCCTCTTTTCTTCCAATTCAGAATCCTTACTGGTTATAGTGGGTTTTGTAATAGCGACATTTACAGTAAATGATGGATGGGCACCCCAAACTAATCTGCATAGTCGAACCACAGAGCAAAAGCCAGGTGGTCAAAACTATGCTAGTTTTTATTCTGAGTTCATATCTGAACTTGAATCTGCAAGTGAAAGCTGTATAGCTCAGTGCCAGTTCCTTATAAAATATTAGACTCTCTAATGCTAAATTAAAGAACTTTAATGCTTCCATTTGATAACTTGTACTCAGTTTTCTGACAGTTTTTTTACTTCAAGCTGTAGAGATTAGAGAAAAAAAAATGCCTATTTCAACAGATTTTAAAAATAGCGCATATTCCATCAAATAAGGTGATTTCTGTGCTTTCCCTAATTTTTAAATAGTCGGTTAACTTCTAGCATGAATGCTTTTGGTTGAGTCAGCCACTTTAAGACAAAGATCTGTTGCATCAGGACACTTATGCTATAAGCACTTACACATCTGTAATGAATTTTTCTTAGGAACTATCTCTAACATGCTTATCAGATTATTTGTAATATTAGCAAGAACAGTGGAGGACTGCATTTTGATACTGGCACAGCATAATTGCAAGGTTTTGCTTTGAAATGTCTTGAGGCAGATTTTGCATTGTGTAAAATAAATTCATTTCACATGCTTATGATGCCTCGGGCACTGGTATTCATTCTTATGTTACTAATTATCTGGTGAAGCTACAGGTAACAAAAAATAAGATAAATTATGTTGCAAAACATTCGCAAATATTTTCCATGTTTTAGACTGCTTTAGACTGTTGCTTGTGTAGCATTTTGTGCTGTCACTGTATTAATGTCTGTCTTTGTGTTTTTGTGTTTCGGAATGTATATACTTATTTTAATGTTACTGTGAAACACCTTGGGATACGTTGAGTACTGAAACAACGAACAATGATTATTCTGTGATCTTGACTGATGTATTTGTACTATGTAGGCATTTGAAAAATAGATCTGATATACCTTTTTCCATATCACCCACACATTCCTGGGTTTGGATTTCAATCATTTTTTCCCCAAGACAAAGATAAACCAAACCCTCCCTTACAAACAAAAACTCTTCTGATAAGACTCATTCTTGGTGCTATATATTAAATAGCCATTTATTAAAGAAATAAACCCAGCTTAATTTGTTTATATTTAATTTTGATAACAATATAAAAATGTTCAATGCAGGCAATATTTTTATCTTTGTGCTTTTAAATACTTTTTATAAATTGTGCATGATACATCAGTAAGTAGTTTGGTGAATATCACACTAAGAGAATCCATTCTTGGGTGATGACAGGAACTTCCCAAAGTGGAAGGATTGCTATCCCAAGCTCTGTTTATGAAAACTTCTAGAAATACTAACTTGATCAGTCATTATTTTGATTTCATTTGCAAGTGAATTGCAGATGCAAATGTGAAAGTCAGACTATGAGTGCTCCCATGGGAATTTGCAGAGGTGTCACAATGTTTTGTCAAGCAGTGGGCAGATCTGAACGTAAAAAGGTGTGTTATGCTTTTCTTGTCCCTTTTGGTTTTATTTTTCTTTTTCATAATCTGCCTACATAAAATTTTGGTGGGAAACAGATGTCACAGATCTGGAGTCAATCATTCCAGATTATTAGCTCTTGGAAATAACCTTTTCAATTTACCAGTTAGGAATTATGGAGTGGGACATGTGAATGTCTGAAGAATAACAGTTTTGTTGCTATCCAGAGAAAATATGAAAACAGTAGGAAAACCAAAATTCAGAGAAAGCTTTTTCAAAAGTATTCCCTGAGCCTGTTATGTCCTTATCTTGTACTAGCAGTTTTCAGGAAAAGTTAATAAATCCATGATTCTTGTGTTGGTGACATCACTGGAAATTCAGAGTTTCTAATACTGTAAGTAATGTGTAACACTTTCTCTAGGTGCTGTGATGCTGAAAGCTTTCTCTGTTTTGCAGACAGAGCACATCCCTCCCTATGATGTAGTGCCTTCTATGCGACCAGTAGTTTTAGTGGGGCCTTCTCTGAAGGGATATGAAGTAAGTGATTGTTGTGAATGGTTTTATTTTGCCAAAAATATTGTTCTTCATTTCTATTTGAATGTTCAGAGGTAGTTAACCTGAAAAACTTAATTTATATCATGGATAAAAAATCTAGACAGCTTTTACTTCTACTAGACAGCTGCTTATTTGTATTTTATTTCATACAGAGTTCAGATTAAGAATAAATTACATTCCAATCCTGCTGTTCAGATATAAGATTTACTGTCAACTTTATTACATACTAATATTAGCATCAAGTATTATGAATTTCCTATATGATTATTAATTTGTTGTTTCTTTGTTTTGTTGTTTGCTTGTTTCTAGGTAACAGATATGATGCAGAAAGCATTATTTGATTTTTTAAAACATAGATTCGAAGGGCGGTAAGTACCTTGCAATGCAAATCTGCTGGAGTTCAGATCCTGTTTAGATACTGCTAGGTTTTTAATAAATAATTGACATTCTTATTGTATCAAATTAGGAATGACAGCTAATTCCATGATCAGTAGACTATAGTGTGGATCGGAAGTTTCCTCAGCAGAGAGCACTGAGGTTGTGTTGGAGTGGGAAGTGTTCAGGGTCATATGTACGTTGAGAGCGGAAAAAGACATGTCTTCTTCTTGATGACTGTGACATCCACACTCCAAATTGCTAGATAGATATTTAGAGATTTAATAAACGTGTACACTTAAAATGTTATTTTGCTTAAGTATTTTCCAAGTGATACCTCATCAGTGCTTCCTGGGTTCTGTACGAGCTGACAAGGGCCACCATTCCTCCTCAGCTCTAGTTCCTTATAGTGGCATCTAACTTTGAAAGAGTGATATGAGATTCGGACTACCTAATGTATATAATTGTCAAACTCTTCATCGCTCAGGGTGGGAGCTTGGTTTGACAGTAGTGCTGGAGTCTATAATGGGAAGTCTGAAAAGGACTGCTGGGGAGGGGGGCAGCCCCCTACTTTGCTGAAATATGGTTGTCCTTGGTAGCAGAAAGGCTGCACTTCTCTGCATTTAGATCTGAGTGCTGTTACAGCCTGACCCTACAGCACACTAGGCAAGGTCCAATCTGATTTGTATTTGAGCCTCCAGACATTACTGTAGTACAAATGACAAAATAAAAGCATGTTCTGTAATTCAGACATCACAGACCCATGGATCAGAGGCATCAGGTGCACTCTCCACATGTGATCATATTGCTACCAGATCAAGCCCCAGGTTAATATGTGCCAGTGAGTTGGCATTTAGGGGGAAAAATTGATAAAACAGGAAGGTCTTGTTATATTATCTGTAACTTCAATGAATGTTCTATTTAGTTTGGAAGTGGGCAGAGCAGTAACACTATTCTATCTGTCCTACTGCTGTCAAACTTTCAAGAGGGAGCTTGAGGTTTTCTGTCAGCAGCTTCAGCTCTTCGGATGACAAGACACTGTGGTTTAGGCTTTTGGATTTCCTCAGTCAGAATGATGATGTTGATACTTAATCACTTACTAGTCCCTCTTTCTATTAGTCAGGGTTATCAAATCTTAAATATGTACCTTCAGAACTGAAAGTTAACAAAAAAATGAGTGTTACAAGCAGAAGAAAGTTATTGCATCTTTATGTCTTAAAGTATTTTAGAGCATATCTAATTTTAAGTTGTAGACCAGATTATGGCAGGGTGATTCCACTAACACTGTTAATACTATTGATGTCTGTAGTAACAGATTTGAGACATCCCAAACTTGAGTAGCATTCTGAATTGGTACTCAAAGTCCTCAACAAATTTGTACAGGAGGTTCTTAGATTCATGCTACTGCTTTCACTGCCACTCTACTGTAAAGCTGTCCCCACTCTCATTGCAATTATATTGCTATATGAACATACATATCCTTTGCTTTGAGAGCATACTCATTATTTCTGGTGTTACACATCTCAAAATACATTAAAATGACCTTTAAAAGATGTTAAAAGATCTTAACATGAAAACCAGCATTTTTAAGCTGATAAATCTAGCTTTGTTCAATATACCATAATTGTATTTGAAAAAGGGAAAAATTATTTTCTATAGAATCTAGGAAGGAAGACTAGTAGGAAAAAAAAAAAAACAAAAACAAACACCAAAACAAAAAAGCTGTAAAAGTTTGTAGTGTTCATCAATTAGCAAATAAAGATAACTAATAAGTACCCCAAATTATGTGTTAGATTTCATTTTAAGACTAGTGGCCTTATCTGTGAGAAGCTGTGCCAGAAGTCACAGCCTTTGGTTATGTTTTTAGCTCAAGTTAAATCATGCCTAAATTTCCAAATTACGTTGCTCATCAGTATTGGGAAAATAATTGTGTTTTTCCATATTAACTTCTGGCTTTGTTACATTTTGAAGGGTTTTAGATAAATATATACACATGTTGAGCTCATTGGGAAATGACCTATTTGGTTACATTTCAGATGAACAGCATCTGACTGTGCTTGCCAGAGAGTAGCCCTCCCTGTTCTTAGCAAATCCATTTCCGCCTTTTAAATTGCAAGTAAAATCATACAAGGAAGAACAAGGGAATATCATCAGTCTGATTTAACTCTCAGCAGTGGAAAAATGTGACCCCTAAATCTCATTAGACCAGAGAGTTTGAAAGGGAATTTATCCAAAGGGTGCATTTTGACCCTCTAAAGCAAAACAAACCAAGTTAGCTGTTTTCCTAGGAAGAAGAATATGCAAAGGGTTATGTAGCAGGTCAGTGCAAACAACTGGAAGTAACCACTTCTTTTTTGGCTGATCTTTTCTCATAAACACAAAACTGAGCCTGCTAGATACTTAGCCCAGAGTTTTCATTTGAATGCTTCTCTGTGTTACAGTTCCCATTTTTAGGTGGCCTACATACTGTTGGATGTTTCTGGAAAATTATAGGTAAATCTTGCACTCTGTTAGAAAACAAATGCTAGTAAGCTGAACAATAAAAATAACCATTACGTGGCTGTACTAATTTCTCTGCTAAGCCTTGCCTTTACCATTTAACTGTGCATATCCCTATGTGCCTTATACATATGGTTAAAGTAAGCCAGGTTGTCATTTTGTATGTTTCAACAAATTAATCAAAATTAGGGAACGGAGAAACCAGCCTATTCATACTGGGGATACTGGTGCAAATTCTAACCACGTCAGGCCTGGAGCCCCCAAGGAAATCCCATCTTCTGCGGCACGTCTCTGTCCTCCTGCCTCCCCTCTCCCCAGACACATCTAGCTTTGCAGTCAGGGGTCATACTAAGTTTCAGAACTGTGCAGAAAGGGGGATGTCTTATCAATAGTTCTTGCAACAGTATTATTTAGCTAAAGTTTCTTCTCTGTTCACATTGTACAAAGCATATTGTGCTGCTGAGGAGAACTTGTTTTCCTGTAGTCCTAGCCATCTTCTAGTGTTAAGCCAGTCTCTTTTTCTCCCCACATCCCTGCAAGATGAATAACATTCTTTTCTATTTTACTGTATTTTCTTTTTTCAGTATATCAATTACACGAGTCACAGCAGACATTTCGCTTGCCAAACGCTCAGTATTAAACAACCCCAGTAAGCATGCGATAATAGAGCGATCTAACACAAGATCAAGCTTAGGTAAGTGCTTATAATGATGCTATCTACAAATTGACTGTAAAGTATACTACTTTCTATTCATATCTGTAAGCTAAAAATAGCCTTCTCTCTGCTGTGAGAAAGTCAGAATTCAGAAATCCTGGCACTGGAAATTATTTTAAAATCACTACCAGGTAAATTTCATATAGTGCTGATTTTGGTTTATCCTGCTTATGTTCAGTTTTCAAGTTTTGCTGTTTGCCTCAGTAGGGAGAAATTGCCATCCCTCAGGTAAATAAAATCTGAAGAGATGTTCTTCTGGTTAAGTAGAAGTGACTGTTTCAGAATACCTGAAATTATATGGAAATTATTGATATTATGTATTATCTTTGATAAGATTACTAGTAGTGATAGCTACTGATATTGGACCTGATAAGAATTGCCAAAGTACACATCTTCTGAATTTTGTATCAGTTTAAATGAATGCTGAGGTTGGTACAAAAAATGAAGAATGGAAAAGGGGAGATGTTTTTAAAAAGCTATATAGCTAGGTTCATAGCATACATAACCATCATCTTACATGAGTTTTTTTTTACTGAAGCTTGTCCAGTTGTATACATAATTAAATGTTTATTTGCCAGAAAGAAAAACAAGCTGAGCTGGGAAGTTGAAACTAAATGTCACCATCTACAGTACAGGTGGTTACACTGGAGCTTGTGCTCTCAAGGTGTCCTTAGAGAAAACAGGAAAAGGAGGTCACTTTGGAGTCTCAGCTTATGTGGACTGACCTCAGCCTTTCCTCTAGCACGAGGTGTATTATATCGCTGGCTCATTGCTTGTGTAGAGATACCTGGAGGTAGCCAAGATGAATCCTGCCAAGAGTCTACATACTTGTGTTAGGGCGCTCAGCTGAGGCACAGGGACACGCAAGTTCAAGACCCTGCTCAAACACAAAAAAAGAAGGAACCTGAACTCAAATGTCCTAGATCTCAGGTGAATGCGACAGCCAAGTTTCTGTCTTTACAAGGCTGCAGATTTCTCTTAGTAGCCTTTGAGAGAGCTTGCTTTCCCCCAAACACAGGATTGTATCTTGAAATCTTGTAAATTGTGTGGAACGGGAAAGGAGTCTCATTCATCCTACTAAATGGGTTCTGTACCAGATTTATAACAAAATCTCTGAGTACACCTGTACTTTGAATATTTAAGATTTGTCTAATATAGCTGTCCTTCTTAGAACAAACTCTGCCTTAAAGAGTTTGACTTCCCTTTCTTGAAAATTTGCTTCTTAAAACCCTCTTAGAACAAACTCTGCCTTAAAGAGTTTGACTTCCCTTTCTTGAAAATTTGCTTCTTAAAACCCTTGCTTTCAGCTATGTGGAGGCTGTGAATCTTTACTGGCAGGTAATCTGATAGCTTCCAAGTATGTCTTATTTTGTTTTCAGATATCAAAATTCAATGTACTGTAACAACATAATGAATATCTTTACACACATGAATATTCTTCTCTATGAATTTCAGTCTTGTCACCAAAGTTTGTTTAGTAATCTGATGAAAAGATAAAGTGTCATTTGTTTTGAATAGAACTGAAAATTGATAATAAGGATGGAGGTCACTGAGTTGTGGAACAAACAGAACCATGGTGATTAATTTCCCAACCTGAACATCAAAGAATGTGCAATTTTGTGCAATACTGCACAAATACATGCAGCAGTAAAAAGCATATCATCTATTGCTTGTGCTAAAATATTTTCATACATGTAAAACAGCTATCACAAAAATTTATACAGGAAAAAGAATATATTCAAAATAAATGCAGCCCAATAATTTACACCTTTATCTCATGGAGAATCTTTCCCTTAAGAACAGCAACATCTTTTCTTTGGGTCAAGGCATTTTTTTGATAGAGATATTTAAAATGGAAGTTCTGACAGAACCTTGGTTGGAGACACCCAAAAGATGACAGTGATAATGTATATATATAAATATGTGGATAGATAGATATGTCTCTCTAGTTTTTGCAGCAGGGCTATTATTATCACCTGAGATTTCCTGCTATATATCAGGTTTTCAGTTGCTAATAATTGTTCTAAAAATCAACTGATTTATAAAATAATTTGAATTATCTTAGGAAATATTCGTTAGAGCAACTAGGTCATTTTAACAATGAATTTAGGGCAAAAAATAATTTTACCTATGTTAAAATATTCTCAAAACCTTTTATTTCAGAAACTGTAATACTCCCATAATCTATCAGGGGTTTGAAATTTGGTGATGAATTGAACGGTATTTCAGTTACATGTTTCTGGGCATTTTTTATGAAAATAATGAGAAAACTTGAGCAAATTATTAGAAGCTGCTGTTAACACATGCCAAGCTTTGCATCTGAATTGCTTAAAGACTCAGCTCTCCCTGGGTAAGGTCCAGCAATGATGCTGAGCAGAGCCTGCTCCCAGCAGATTGGATCAAGTCAGTGAAGCAGAACTAAAATGAGAAGGTGCTCATACCTCAGCTTTCAATCCCTACTTTGCTGTGCAGCATGAAGTAAAAAGTTGTTTGCTTTAAAGATGTTCAACTGGATGAGCAGGTGGCTGGGCTAGAGGCAAAAGGCAAGTGGTGAAAATCCATATGGAAAAGGTTGGAGTCGCGGAGTAGGAGCTGGAATAGTTGAACCCACTGGTGAAGCACCTCTGGGATCTGTGCTCCAGACATGGGGTAAACCACAGGAGGACAAAAGTCAGCCAGGAAGGAAGTCAGGGAGGGAAACAATGTGGTAGCAGTGGGTTAGGAGGAAAACTGATACGATAAAACAACCTGGAGTCAGAAAACAGAATTGCTTTTGTAAGACAATGGGAAACTCTTGTGCAATGCAAAAGAAAGAAAGTACATGAAGTGTTACAGCCTGTTTCCTTGCTTTCCTGCAGCGTACCTCAAGGTAGAAATAGAGTCAGAATCAGAAAAAAATCATTATAGCCTGCTGGTAGATGACCTCTTCTAGCAGCGGTTCACAAAGATGACAGCATACCACTGCTTTATTAGTTGGGTCAAGTAGCAAAAGTGAGTGACAATATCATACCATACAGTGGAATTTTTATTTTTCAGTTTGTGTGATGAATTTGCTGTAAGACAACAAAAAATACTATTAAAAGAATATTATTAGGTTTACAAACTCCAGTGGTGCAAAATAAAGGTTAGAAAGTAACAAAAAGAAGGTTAACTGTGCAACCTCGCAGTATCTTTAGGTTACCTATGCTGTGATTCAGCCTTTGGTTATGTGTTTGCAGACTACTTTTCTACCAGTCCTCTGCCTTTTTTTTTTTTTTTTTTAATGTACAAACTAGTGCAGGGAATTAGAATTGCTCAATGAATTGCTGTTTCTCTTGCTATAGAACTTGTACAATGTATGATGCAAGAAACTTCAGGAAGGCAAATTAAGTTCTCTAAAAGCATAATAGGACATTTTAAATTTAAATTTATGGAGAGCAAGACAGGAAATAGTGATTTGACCAAAACTTTTTGTGGCAGTACATCAGTGGGTTTTAACAGGAAGGATTTCTTAGATCCAAAACTGAATTCCTGCTCACAAAGAGGAAACTCCTTCATCACCCATTTTCTACCCTCCAAGGTGCTCATACCCCAGTAATTAAAACACACATCTGGTATGTATGACACATAATCAAACTTCTACTGTATCTGGTTTGGAACAGGGACCTGAATTTTGGTCTTAAGCATACTAAGCACTTGTCTATCTCTGTTGGTTCAGCAGGTGTTGATTCTCTGTTGAAAAAAGCGATAGCCCCAGTGGGAGGGGGGTCTGCTGCCTATGATCCGATAGCCTGTAAGCTACAGCACCGCAGCATGATGTGCCATGGGCCTCGCTTCTGAATCCCAGCAGCCTACAGACCTTACCCAGGGCCAAAAAGTAGCCCCTCGGCACCCCTCAGGGCTCGGTGTCAGAGGTGGCACCCTGCAAAGCTCACCAAGGTAGCGCAGAGCGTGCCGTGCCTGCAGCATGGTGACTGCCCGTACCTGGAGCCAGGGTCGGTGCCAGCCAGGTTGGAAGCACGGAGGGAAGGGGCATCCCGTTGCTCCCCGTCCTGCCAGGCCCCTCCACACTGCCTCCCGCCCCGCCGCCAGCAGGCCTGGCTCTCTGAGTCAGAGGTGAGGTGCAGTGCTGAGGGGCGGAAAGGGAAACTCTCCTTCTACTGGATTAACTGAAGAGCCCAATGCAACAGTCGCGTCTGCTGCTTCTGATACAAGATTCATTTATAATATTGGAGTAGTTATTTCCAGGCTTCATAAAGGTGGCTGTTTTTTTCCCAGTGTTTTCTGCGTGCCTCGAGCATGATTTGTAGAAGTACCAAGTATTGTGGCTGAAACTGAGATTCAGGCTTTGAAACTGTCAAACAATAATGTAGGTCATCAAAATCAGCCCACTGCATGGTAATGCACTGGTTTGGAAAATGCAGATGGGAACCAGGGAGTACTTTATGGACTACTAGAGCTACTGTTGGGTATCTTGTAAAATACCAGCCTTATGGCTCCTCATTCCCCAGAAGTCCTCCAATCTTAGGCTCTTCTCTTTGCAGACGTTTAACTGGGGGTCTATTCTTTTAATTCCCAGTCTAGCTCAAAAAATTTTTCCCTTCTCTCAGATCAGGACTGATATCATGACAGTACAGAGCAGCATCAGGAATGTCCTGAGTCTTAGTACTGACTTCTAAAAGAAGCTTCAAGATTATGTTTTGGAAGAAAGAATACCAGAAGCCAGGATTTCCTGTAGGATGACTTCCATTTTTCTAGTTTGAATGTAATTTTTACTACGGTAGTTCCTCTGAAGAATCAGACACTACATTTCTGAAATTGAACCCCCCCAAAATAGTGATAACTTGTGATTATTCTTTGTGATTCAGTTTTCTGTTTGGAAAACGCATGTAATTCCAGCTTCTCACCTAACCAGGATGTTTCAGAGTGAAAAATCATTTTATTGCATCAATAAAATACCACCACAGTAAGTTCCATAAAATAGCCCACAAATAATTTATTCATTCTGTTTTCAGAGAAAGATTAGACCAGTGTGCTCTAAATGAGATGTGAAACACATATTTGACAATGAAGAGAAAGTAAATGACTCAGTAGCTGCTTATCAGTTGACAGTGTATGGAGCTGCATACTGATTGAGACAGCAGCCCTGCAGAAACAACTTTATTATATGTTCCTGAGCATGCTGTCTTATAATACAGACCACAGAAGGTTTGATTTAAGAGAGCTATCTCGGCTTTTCCTGCTTTATTAGTACTAGCTTTGCAGCCCAATAATACTCTCTTCTAATACAAGTTTCAGTCATAGATAAATCATAGAGTGAGGATTCAAGTTATATTGGTTCTTTCCTAGTATCTGCTGCAGGTCTACTGAGGGGTCCTGGGAAGTGAATTCTTTGCCTACATACATTTTTCCTTGTATAAAATAAGAATAATAGGGCCTTTTCTCCAAATCACTGCAAAAAAAAGGACAGAATTTCTGCAACCACTAAATTTGTGCTTTTTTTTTTTTTTTTTTTTTTTTTGGTCCAGATTATCAACAATGATTTAATTCTGGTTCAGGTATTTAAAAATAGTATTTTTTGCAATAAAATTTGATCTTGTTAATGAAAACCAGGGTTTCTTTGGGTTTGTTTTGTTTTGCTCTGAATGTGTCTCCTGACTGCACAGCTGTGGGACATGGGGGAGATGAGTTGCTGGCTGGCTGTCTTTTTCCTCTGTGGACAGTCAGTGGTGTGTGGACTGAGACCCACATGTTTATTTCTACATCCGGTATCATTTAAAAACAGCTTTTTATTACATCAAATACAACTCCTCAGAACTGCTTTATGCTAATACAAATCCCTCCCCCTTCCAAGTTCAATGGGAAGCTTTTCCTTTGCTCACTCAGCTTTGGGTAGTGGTACATGATGCAGCGAGGCAGTCAAGCTACTGATTTATCCCTGAGTTATCCTCACATTTGTGAGCAGCCGTTGTAACTGCAGCAGAGAAGGCTATTTCATAGACGTTTGAAAATATATTGTTGGGTTTTATGTAAGTTTTATTTTAATAAGTGTTCTATCAATGAGTCGGTATAGTACAAAGGTAATGTTTTCTATATATTAATACTAAATATTTTTTTTCTGGGAAATAAACGAACCTCTTTTTGAGTATAACTCTTACCTTCTCACCCAATATTGGTTTGCAGTATTGTGCATATTGTTCATAGTTGTGCATGGCACAGTAAACAGTAGAGTGAGCGGCGTTATTTGGAACTGATTTAATAGATAACCCAGAATTAATTTCAAGGAGGCATAGACAAACAATGTGATAATCAGGAGTAGGAATTGCCATGAGCACTGGGATTTACAGGATTATAGGGATGTCTTGATGGGTTTAATGCTACACACACCTGTCAACTGAAAGTTTGCTTCTGTAAAGGAATTAGCTAAAAATAGACTTGGGATTTGATTCATTGGAAACCAATGCTGCCACTGAATGTTCTAGTGTAAAATTTATGTTTCCAAGAATTTTATAAAAATAGTGTCAGGCTCATAAAGATTTAGGAGGACAATACAGTTTTATTCCGCTCCTATATGAAAGCTTGTTTGTATATAAAGAGAAATGTTTGTTTGTCAATACTGCTATATGCTTAATATGTGAAACGCTGGAACTAAATTTAAGAAAACTGATTAATTTCTGTAAAAGCCTAGAAGAAATCTGTAATTTTGAAAATTATTTTCTTTCCAAGAAGGTAGAGTACATGGTTAAATCTCATTCACCTGAAAATCAATCCCAATTGGCTTAGTTAAATTTCTGTATGTACGCATGCCATTTGCAGAAACTGCTGAACCAGCTTTGTGCTTTTGCTGCATTTCTTTGTCAAAAGGACCCAAACTCTTTTTGTGTTGTTTCTGTGCATGTTACACTTGTTATAACCTTACCTCATGCTGTATTCTTTGTACAAGCACCTGATTGTCTCGGCTTTTTCCATTCTTTGCTTCATTAATGCTCTCCCTTTCCAGATGTTTTGGGTATGTATACAAGCTTGCAAATTACTTTTCCTGCTGTTTTGTGTTTAGTGCTTTATTGTACCTCACAGAACCACCGTGTGTTTCTCATAACTGGCTCACTAATAGACAAAAGCCAACCCTGTACTGTGTTGCTATGTATTTCTTTTAGAAAATCTTGCTGGTTTTCTTTATTTATTTTCAAGTAATTCTAAAAATAACGTTGAGATTCACAAGTAAACGCTAAAGATTAGGTTTTCCACTGTAAATTTCTAAGGTGTGTGCACCTAATCTGCATATTCCAACACAGGCAGGTGAATGATAATGTAAAATATATCATTGTATATATGGTAAATCAGTTGCAGTCAAATGGCTGGGAATCTTTATTTACTTTCTGTATGCATATGCATTAATCTGTCAGGGATTACGTGCACCCAGTTTGCACATGGAATTGTGTGCCTACCTTTGGAAAGCTGTCTCTAGAAAATGTATAGAGCTCCCATTCACATTGTTAGGATGATATTCCAGAGTTTTAAAAATGAAGCACAAGTGCTTGAAGAACTAGTAGTGGATTATCAGTGCAAATTTCAGCCATGTGTTTTTATTTTCTTGATATCTGTGAAAAGTCAGTTGAATGCTTGAAACTATGGTAACAATTTATTATATATATATATACACATTATATATATATATATGATAATGTTATTATGTATTCTCCATGTTAGTAATTTAATGACAGTTGCTGTATATGGTAAGTTTCAAGTAAATGCTTCCCTGACTATAATTTAAAAATAAAATAATGCTAGCTAAGCCTCATAGAAATCTTTCCCTACTTACAGAGGCCATGGAACAGGAAAGCCAAATTGGGATTTAACCAATAGTGTATTTCCATTCCATTCCAAAGACTCAACTCGAAAGAGAAGAAAAAGGGTGTTCAGTGTGTTATGGAAAATCTTGATTGTCCCTTTATAATTTTATCTTCAAGATAGTTGGGACAAATGTTCAGAACTCTCACTTGCAGGCATTAAATCCTCAGATATGGTAATCTCCTAAACCTGAAGTTGTCTGGAGCCAGAATGCTGTAATATGGCAGCCAAGATCTTTTGGGTTATTATGTGTCTGTGGCTACACTTCTTTTTGCACACAGATGGGGAAAGAGTAGCCTGAAGGTCCTGAACGTGTTACAGTTTATCAGCCTCACTTGTCTCAAAATGCTATGTTATCCTGCTGGGCCAGCCTTGCTTTTGTTAACATCTAAGGTCAGACTCTCTCTAATGAATTCTCCAGGTAGTCCTGTGTTAGCAGTTTGGTACTACCTTTCCAAAATTCTAAATTACAAATAATTTTTGATACAGTATTGGCAAGTATCTTAATGACATTTCCTGAGTGTTTCCAAAGGATATACAAGGTGAGGAGAAGGGAATAACTCTTGATTTCTGTGAATTAGAGATAGCTCTCAGCAACATGTCATTATATTTTCTCATGGTGCTGCACTGAAATATGTATGATTGATAACTATATTGAAACAAAACATGAGCTAGAGACAAAGCAATATAGCAATGTGTTAGAATAGTTTTTAAGGTTACAGATATCTGTATAATAACTAAGATACCTGGATAGATGAATGAAATATTTTTAACAAGTTAGCTGTTTGCTTAAGAATACAGTTTGCTTCCCTTAAAACTGTTCACACCTGTAGGTTGAATTGATCCAGTATGGTTTTTTTCTCCTAGGCTCATGGAACTGATAAAAAGTTAGTGACTGTGTCCTCATTTTATCCAAGATTAAGGGTTTGGGTTGTGTAACCAGAATGCAAAGAAGTCTGGGTTCATTTCTGTTCTCTGATAACAGAGAAGTGAACTCGTAATTTCCATCACCATGACAGGGCTATGATCACCTTTATGATGGTTGTCAGTCGGTCCTGCTGAGTCTTATGCACTTTACATAATAATTAAACTTTTCCTGCAGAAAGAACTGGAATCACGTGTTTTGCCTCCCACTCTAAGCATCAGGCTGCAGAGTCAGTATCCCTCCTACTCAGTGAATACACAAATGTTTTGCGAGTGGCACACCATCAGCAAGGAGGGGTTGAATAGCCAGAGATGGAGTGGTTCCACATCTTATCTCTGAGAAAGGCTGAGCATTTTTTTTATGTTTGTTCTGAATAAAACAATAGACCGAAGGAACACTCACTTAGTGTCTGTGTATGGACTAGAACTATAAAAACCTATAGCGCTGCACTGAGTAATGAGTCATGGTGCAGAAATATCGAAGTTAGTGCCAGCCTGATGTGATGATATCCATTCTGGACTATGCAGAGACACTTGCTTGGTCCCCTGGGCGTAATAAATGTTAGACTGCTTCTTTGCCCAGTCTTACTATCCCAATTACTCTCTAGCAGGGTGTAGGGGAGCTTAATGATGGGAGCAATGCTGTGCTGCTGCATGGCATCTCCTGGAGCGGCTGCAGTTCTACCTCACGCAGACGACTCAGTGCAGCTCTCCCCTGTGCAGTGCTCATCCACTCGTGTTTCTGCTGCAATCCACTGATTTCAAGCTTTTCTATTCATATCCCATTAAAATTTACTTCCAGTTTAAACCTGGCATAAGAACCATCATTCCATAAATGCTATTGTTTTGCTAGCCCAGAAAAATAGAGAAGGAAGTAGAAATTTTCATGTTCTATTTTGTGTTTTTAAATGACACTATCTGTTTTGTATTTTCACATACTTACAGTATTTCATTTTAGGAGATGTTAGTCCTTTATAAATAGATCTTGGTTATGCTGAGGTTTCCAAACATCACATTGTATCTGTAAATACCACTTGGACATGTGTGTGCATTCAAAGCCATCTGAATTCTGTCTAAACTGAGCCTCAGCAGACAGGAAGAGGAAAACCCTGTTTTCCTGGAGCACCTCACCCCACAGCTCCCCTTCAGAGGAGCCCAGGCAGGAGCACCAGGCAGAGCAGCAGACATGCTCCTCTCCTTTCTGCCTTATCCCTCGCAGGAGCCCCATCTGTTAGGCATGAGTAACACATGCAGCCACTTTCCCTGGAAAATATTGTCATCCTCCCACTCCCACCCTCCCCTTTTTATGTAACAAGATAGTGGCTAGGGGATTTGGTTGAAACCAGGGAAATATAAGTATATTCACAAAATTACATTTATGTTAGGAATTTGATTAAAACCTGTAATCCAGGTATCATCTGGCCCATTGCCTGAGGATTAAGATAGAGCTTTTATTTCCTCTTTTGTTCCCCTCCAAGACTTTTTCCTTCTTAGCTGGGTATACTGGAGGGAAGGCACAGAGGCTTCTGCTCCCCAGCATTGCCACCAGTGTGGGGTGGGACACCTAATCTTGCCTCGAGACCATGAGGCTGAACCTCCCTGGCTGGAAGGGGATGGAGCCAGCTGCCCCCTGTGCAGCATGACCCCACTGTTTGCTCCCTGCCTCCCCAGAGCAACCTTGGTGCTTAAGGGAGGGAAAGGGGAAGTTGAGAAGAAAGAGGCCAAGCACTTATGCACTTGTGGGGTTTCTTATTGGTTTGCTCCACACTGCTCATACAGCATGTAGCTTTCTGAATCACTTTCGGTAGCATCTTGGTCTCTCCACTTCGTATGCAGTGAGAACAGGTATCTAACGTAGCCTGGGATAGCCTGCTGTGGCCCAGTACCTGCGTTCTGGTTAGTGCAATACCTAATGTAGACACTTCGGTGATTTTGCCCGCAAAATAAGCATGTGTATACACACATGTGCTCACAAATTGAAATTTAAGATTTGAATTCTGTCGGTCAATCTCATGATTGACTTAATTGAGATGCGTGGGCACAACTCAATAGTCTTAGCTTCCTTTTTGGTTTTCTTTTTTCATTTTCTTAGATTTCAGGTATGACCTTTATCCATTTCTCAGCAGTTTTTTTGGTGTAATACTTTCTGTGTGCTTTAAAGGCACTGGGGATATATAGCACGGTTGTTTCTTTTGCCTTTGTTTTGGAATTCCTGAGGCTGCCTTAAACTTCTAATTTCTTTAGTTATGTTCCTGGAATTTAGTGATTAATTATACCTAAGTGTGCTTGTGTAAAGGAATTGGCATAAGAAAAATCACAGCTAGTGATGTCTGTTCTCCGTCATTTACAAAATTATTTGAAAGCTATTTGTTCAAAGTATTCCTAATCATTTTTGTATGACATGCATTGACATAGGTATGTTCTTTTCATGCTATACATCTGTAATGTCAAGATCTCTGTTTAGAAAGATAGAATGCTTTGTCTCTGTCGCTGTTGCAGTCCAAGCAATAATTTACAGATCTGTTTCTATGAACAAAACAGTGCCACTGCTAGCATAGACAAGTAGACAACGTCAAATTAAATAGAATATTAAAGTCAAACTGTATTCAGTTGACAGTATGTGAACTTCACTGTTCCCCCTGAAGATCAAAACCTCTTTGATGTATATAAGCAATATTTTATGGTTCTAATTTGGCCTTTTCAGTCCAGAAGCATGACCATTTTGCATCACATCCCCATCACAAAACTGCCATCTCATCAGGGTCTTCCTAAAACATAGTGCTGATGTAGCCACTGCTCTGTCAGGCTGGGTGTCTCAGTGACTCCTGGCTGCTATGGATGCTTTCTGCCCAGGTTTGAAGGAGGATTGTGTTTCTCCAACTGTGTAGAGTAGAGAATGTTCTTTTACCATGGCACTGTATAACTGACCCTAAATTCCACCATAGTTCATCTTGTTTTTAGTGAATTGACATAGATGCAACACAGTGTTGCAGGGTCTTTGACTTTACTTTAGGTGAGATTATTGTAATGAACTGTTAAAGATTTTTGCTTGAAATTCACTTATAAGATCCAGCTAGTGTAAAGAACATCTGTCTGCCGCCGTAATGGGATAAGCCATTTACTTGTGTTCTCGTTGCACTGAATTTCTGTTCATTTCAAGGTACAGTAAGGATATTTGGAATTAATATATGGGCGTAAGTTAAAGTGCAATATTTAAAGTTGGCTGGGAGATGTGTACTTCTTGTTTCTTAGAGCTGACCCCCTATTGTATAGAATAAGTAGTTGAGTGCTCCTGTCATTTAAAATATGTTCCCTTTCTGATTACCAGGCAGGCCATATCAAATAGTTTATATGTGTTGCTTTAAAATTTGATAGCTTTTTTCTGGTTTTGAGTGTTGTTGCTGGGCTGCCAGCATTTCTTGATGGTTGTCACAGTATATCTAAATATGCTTATGCTTCTCATTATGATTGGCAAATATAATTTATTGGTTCTAACTGCTACAGCCTCACTGTTAAAGCCTCTCCAGTACACTGAAAGGGACATAATTATAAATAGATCATATTCATGGAGGTGGAAAGATTTCTAAGCTATTACCGTACTGCTTTGAAGATACCACACTACCATTGTTCTCAGCTCCCTATTTTAACTACCAGTGACATTTGTGTTACTATCCCCACATGACATTTAGGGTTCTTTGCTTACTTTGGACCAAAGTCTGAGAGAAAATTTGTGTTGAGTCTTATTGGGAAAGAATCTTTACAGGTATAAAATTTGTTTTTTTGAGAGATGTTAAAGATGAAAACCAAAGCTGCAGCAGTAGATAAAGCCTTTGTCATCTAATAAGAGAAGCTAGAAGCTACTAGAATTAAAGTAATTGTAACAATCTTATGTGTAGTAAAAAGTTAGACTACAGCGAAGATTTCAAGCAAAATGCAGGCTTTTCCAGAAGCTGAAAAGGACAGGAGATCAGGACCTCTTCAGCAATCTCTGTGGCACTTTTTCCATCTATTTTTGGCTGGAGAGGTAGAGGTACAATCTATTAGTTCACCAACCATGCAGTGTAGTTCCTTCAACTTTTCTCCTATACCTAAGTTAAGAAAAATAAATATTGAAATACTTTTTAATTGCTGGAGAAGATATCCAATCATCCTCAGACTCCGGTGGAAATTATTGGTTAATAGGACCATAGTTCCCTGTAATTATTGCCCTGAGTATGTTTCACAATAGAAGATATTCTGAGGCATGCTCTGCCCTGGTAAAGGGTTGTTTCAAAAAGTATAGCAGGAAATGTAGTTCACAAAGATGTATTCTATACTGGCAGAGAAGTGCTTCCAGCAGTGTAGCAAATACTGCTTCCCCAGAAAAAAATGATGGTACATTGGCAAAAGAGACAGATTTTTCTGGTTATAAATTGTCTTGAACAAGGGTTTTTAGCAGTCTGGAATGGTCTTAAAATGATACATTAACTGATATTGTTATGGCGACTGAAGTGTTGAGCCTGGTTTGAAATTGCAGGAAAGCAATCCAAACTCATCATCAGAAAAGTATGACAAATTATATCTGATATGTTTATTCTAGTTGTCATTTGGACTTAAATTAGGGATAGACTATTGACTATCTTCTAAATCACTGAGGTATTCAGTCATTCCAACAATATCTCTGTGCAATGAAGTTGCAGAAAATGTAATCATGAATGTGCCAAGAGCCATCAGAAGTTCTGTCTTCAAAAATGTGGTCCTAATTCAGACAGCAGCTGGGCCACGATGCTTTTATCGACAATCAGGAAAGCACACACCGATGCTTTCCATACCAGCATGCCGTACACCACTTGCCATGTTCTCTACCGTCTTTTAAGACTGATGGGCATGTACTCAGCCAAAATTGGGGATAACTACAAACAGATGGAGGTGATCTCTAATAGGTCCAAAACAACGTCAACCTCCTCCAGCAGAGAGCATCATATATAGATTTTCTGATGGCCATTTAAGATGTTACTTCATTTAGAAAATGGTTGTAGTATTCACCCATTAATTTGGAACCAAAAGACTTTGAGCTAAATGAAAACTAGCTGGGATGCTTTGCTCTCTCTTGGAAATTTTGCAACCTTATCATGGAACCTAATTTATTCAGTTGCTATTCTAAGAAAACAAATACCAATCTCTTCACACCTTTTGAAAGAGACCATTCGCTATAGAAAACTCTCTCTAGCCAGATCAGATAGACTGTGGTTTCAAGCAAATATAATGCTTCTGTCAGCATAATAGATGAAATGCTGATAGTGTAATTTCAAGAAACTCTCTAATAAATAAGTTTTTTGTACCTCTTGTTGACACTTAAGCTTCTATTGGTTATCTTCTAGTATTTACCTGAATGGACTAGATAATCTAATCTGATTTTGGTTCCGGGAGTGTACACGACCTTTAAAGGGAAATCTATATGAATTATAATCCTATCTGGCTCAATAACTTTATAGACTTGCACAAATCATCCAACTTCTATAATTTCTTTATGAAGTTGGCCTATCACAAGATTTGAACAGGAAAATGGGATTACATTTCAAGGATGATTTTACTGTTAAAAGATTTAGTTTTGTTTCATTTGGGAATGAAGACAGTTTCTACATCACTTGTGAAAGTGGATGCAGTCCATCTGGATTGGAGAGGTTTGCCCTGAAAACTCCTGCCAATAAGGCAGGGTGCTGAGGAGCTGGGAGCATGAGTTACCAGAAGACAGGATGATTTTTTCTGGGAAAATCACCTGTCCAGAATTTCAGGGCTATGAGTAGGATACCATACCATTATTTGGAGTATTGAATTATTTTTGTTTAAAAAGTGTATTACACATTGTAATCAGATTTTCCATGTGGTACCATACTGAGGCCAGTATATGAAGGAAATTGTTTTCCAGAGCTTTGATAAGTTGAAGTAAATGGAAAAACCAAAGTTTATTCTAATATAGACACCTCAGTACATCTTAATGTCTATCTCGTGCACTCTAGTTTGAGCAAATTGAGTGCTACGTAAGATTAAAGTCTGAGCTGAAATTATTTACATGTAGGAAATTAATGGCATAGTAAGATTACTATGTGATGCAGCAAGCATTTGTACCATTTTTTTTCTCATATACATGGACAGAGGTCTTGTAAGAAAGTGTCTCTCCAGGCTGGGATTGCAGGAAGCCGTTGAGGTGAGAGAGGCAGGCAGTGCTGCCTGCAAGGGCAACAAACTGGGGGCAAAATGCTATTGTTAATATTGCATTTGTTTCTGTAGCATGCCAGGGCCGTGCATGGCTAAAACCCCTTCCAACCTGAGGAGGAGCAACACAGGATTTTGACATTTCTTAAAATTAATTGCCTTTTAATGTTTTCATAACTCTAATTTTCTACTTATCTGCAGCTGAAGTTCAAAGTGAAATTGAACGGATTTTTGAATTAGCAAGGACACTGCAATTGGTAGTGCTTGATGCTGATACCATTAACCACCCAGCTCAACTAAGCAAAACCTCTTTGGCTCCCATTATAGTATATGTAAAGATTTCTTCTCCTAAGGTAAATATTTTACCAATATTCATGTTGATTCAGTCTTTTTTTCTTTTTTTTCCATCCTTTTTTTTGGTCTTAAATGCAGATGTACTTAAATGTCCTCATTAAAGTTCAGAGTGATATATATTGTTATTGGTTCCCTTTGGATGGTGAAATATTATTAATCAAAAAAGTATCTTAGCTCTGGTGTTACCAAAATCAATTTTGGAAAAGATGCTCTATCTCCAATGTTTTTTTAGTTGGGATTTCGCTTTTAGTATCAAGCACGTAAGTAATGATAACAGTTTGTTGAATCAAATTAATACAGAAATTAAAGATTTTCACACAATGAGTGTCAGACTGATTGGTAAACTTTAACATTCCTGGTAATATACTCTTGCATCCTGGGAAAAATCTGCATAGACCTTGTGAAAAGGCATTTGAAAGAGAAGATCAAATTATGGGAAGAGAACTCAGGAGAACAATTAAAGAATTTCAGCTTAGAAACAAAGAAATCCAGAAACATCAAAGGAAAATAGGAGGGGAACTTTATAGTCCTCATAGCCGGAAAGGAGATGTTGGGAAGTAAATGAAAATTAGCTTGGTCTGGATGTAAACAGCATGGGAAATTCTCCTGAAGACAGCAAATGAAGAATTTGATCTGCTCAAGTGAACAGTTAAAAATTTAAACATTTTAGGTGGTTATATATGTACAGTAAATCCAGACCTGCTCACTTTTATTAATGTCTTATTTTTCACAGGTTTTACAGAGGTTAATAAAATCTCGAGGGAAATCTCAGGCCAAACACCTAAATGTTCAGATGGTGGCAGCTGATAAACTGGCACAGTGTCCTCCAGTGAGTTACTGTTAATTTATGTCTCCCCTTTGAAAGGTACCTTTCTGTTCAAGCACAAGGTTAATTATGTAATTCCTGGGAATGTTTGCCCTCTTCTGGCCATATTTCACTATTGCTTTTTTGCAGAATGCCTCCTGAGGTCTCTGGGCTCTGCACAAGGGTTCAAGGAAGAACAGCCATAATCACAAGCAGTTTTTAGGATATGTGCTGAATATATTTGCCACTCAAAAAAGCTGAGCATTTGTTTTCCTTGATAATTCTTTTGGGGTTACTGGTCTAAAAATTAACCCTCCTAGTGACTGCGCTTTATCTCTGTCAGTTTAGGGTAAGGCCACTGATTTGAGGAGCACCCCTTGGGCGTATGTCACCACAGCCCATCCACTGCTGATGTTCTTGGTCACTGTTTTGACAGAGGTGTGGGGTCCTGCATAACTGAGAGCTCTGAAGTTCTGTTAATGTGCACTGAAGCAAATTCTTTCAACTTCCACCTATAAAGTGGAGATGATGAGACCTCAGCTATGTTTTAAACATGGCAAGGATTATTACCTGCATACTCAGCTGTCAAGAGTATGGGTAAAAAAGACCAGAAGATGAACGTTCAGTTCAGTTGCAGATATGGAAATTTGCTATAGTTATGGAGCTGAGTGAGGAGGATGTTTCCATCATTTAAGTTCAAGTATCTCATTTAAGGTCCCCAAGAAGTCAATGAAGAATTGACTCCAGGAGACCTCCGTAGGCTCTCAAAGCTGTGTTCAGGAGAACTTCTGTCTCCCTGACCAGGGAGGGAATGGAGAAAACTCACCTCCTAACTTTAGTACCTAATATTAGACTGTGTGACTAATCTCTTATCTAATATTTGTACAACACTTGGAAACTGAATGATCTGTATTACTTGTTTGCTTGTGTTTCTTATTATAGTTTATCGTAGTTTTCTCTTAATTATTCTAGAAATGAGGAGCAAATCCCTTTTCTTTCAGATTTTTTCAAGCTGATTTGTTCAAGCTGCCTCTTCCTATCTTCATTGACTGTTTGTGCATTCCTAATAGAAGTCATGAGGACTTGCTTTAGCAAGTGTAACATTAGTGCTAGTTGTGATTGCTATATTTTGTATCACATGCATTAAAAAAAAAGGGTGAAATATCTTAACACAAGTATTAGGAAAGTGGTTCATTTTTGATGAATGGAAATTGTGGTCATCAGTGTCTCTAGCTGATCTCCCATTAGCTGGTGGTTGTTCTCACTAAAATTTTTCCTTTATCAGGAAATGTTCGATGTAATTCTTGATGAGAACCAACTTGAAGATGCTTGTGAGCACCTTGCTGACTATCTGGAAGCCTACTGGAAGGCCACACATCCACATAGCAGCAATCCTCCTAACCAGCTTCTCACTCGCACACTTGCAACAGCCACTCTTCCTGTTAGCCCAGGTCAAAATATTAATTTACAGGTACAGTTTTTATGCCATCTCTTCTTTTTTTCCTATCAACTCCTTCCTCTTCCAAAGCACAGTGGTAGTACGATGATAGAATATGATGAATATGTCTTACTGTTGTTGATAGAATAAGAGCTTTTTCAGCAGACATTCACCCATTTTCAATGTAAAAGGCAAATACAGGCACATTATTGTTGTTGTTATTGTATTCAGAGTAACATGTGTTTGCGTATTGACTGGGGGGCTGGTTTTGATTCCAAGGACTAAGCCAGCCTGACTGAAAACATATGGTGATGTGAAGTGGAATACTTAAGATTTTATTGTGCCCAGGACACCACTGTTCCAGTAATATGTGTACCAGCCACGAGCATTTTTATAGCTGGCCATATGTAATCCAATCAGAGGAATAAAACTGAGCTAATGCTATGCACGTTACAGCCTCTGGTAACTCTCTGACTGATGGGCACACTATCACTAATAGGAAAATCCCAGCCCCAGAGGCCCTGCATGACAAATTGGGTTATGCACAGAGCAGATCCACAAATGTTGGAGGGAATCTGTTATTATCTTCCCACAGGCTATAGAGTTGTAGAGGTGGAGAATGACTGACTGTGTTAGTGATGTCTCAAGGTCAAAGTGGCCCTTCCGGTGTTTCCTTTGTTCTATTATTCATTGGCCATTGCTGTGAAAAGTACATACTTACTTCAAGATGAATTCTTACATAAAACCCAAGTCCCACTGCACATTGTCAGTTAAAATTCATAACTTTTGCTAAGAAAAATGCCTCCTTTTAGCAAACCAAATTAAAAAATATCTGCACCCAAATTAAAATGCCAAGAATTTGCTTTTTGTTTTTATGATCTTGCAAAACAATTTTTTATGTCCAATAATTTATTTCCCATTAGAAGACCAGAGACCTGACAAGTTTGTTCTTTAATAAGAAAAATTGCTTCAGCCACCTTGCAGGGTATCTCATTCTCTTGCTTTCAGAAGCAGTTGCAAGAAAAGAGACTGTAAGCTGTAGCTCATTTCTGCCTTTTTTTCTGTCCTCAGAGCTGAAACACCCTGAAAAAACTGTGAGCTGGAAGAATTTCTGAGTATGAAATTCAGTATTGTTGTGTGCAGACTTTCTAGATAAACTCTCTTTGCTTTGTAGATGTGTTTATTACTTTTGCTCAAGTTTTTTAATGCCTTTTGGGTGTGGATTTATAGTTCACATACTCATTTTATTAACCACATTCTCTGGAGGAACTATACCGAGTTTTAATAACACTTCTCTGAATGTGATGTTATCCTTACAAATTAACAGATTTTCATTTTAAGGACTAAAAATTAGAATGTATTTGCGATTTCACAGTTTGTTTGTAGGTCTACTAATCCAAAAGTGCAAAGCAATGGGGGTCCCTTATGGAACATAGAACTTCTATATTACTTGTGTTTTGTTTTCCCATAATACATTTTCAGGTGACATCTCAAACCTGAGCCTGTCACAGTCTTGGAGTAGATTGGGTTTATTTTCTAGTCACAGTGACTGAACCCATTCTCTAGGTAGGGTGAAGACCCTCTACTTGGAGAATTTAAAGACTATGTCTGTGTCTTTTTTGTGGGCTGCTCTGTAGAGAAAAAACATGCCACCAGCCATTTGGCCTGGAGGGGCCACATCCACACTGCGAAGCATTTGAGTCACTCTCCCCTGGGTCCAATGCAGCACCCCTTTGCCATGAGGCACAGTTGGTTTTTGTGGTTTTGCAGTCCCGGGTGTACACTGTAATGAGAGATTTGTGTTGCCAGCTGCCAGAGCGGTATTTTTATTGGATGATGTTGGCTGCATGCATTGCATGGCACGAGGTGATTGAAGGTGTGAGGCCTCCTGGGACTGTTTAAAATTAAGTCAGTGAAGACCGTACACCTCCTGTCTATCTGATGGAGAGCTTAAGAGCAAACTGTCCTGACAACTGTTCTCAGGTTTCCTCTTGTAGGGAAATAGTTGGCTAATTCCCAAAAGAAGACTAGAGCAACCTCACCCACATACAGTATAGGCAATTAGGGACCACTGGATGGAAATAGGGAGCAAGCCAAATTAACTTGGTGGACACAGTCTTCTCTCTCCTCCTTCAACAATGCTTAAGCTTCTTTCAAAGAACCCCTACTTCTTTGAAACTACAACCTGAATAATGAAATGGGCTTATCTCAAACCTTCTCTATTTTAGGCAAAAAACTTTATGAGATTGGGCCATCAAATTCTTGCACTGTGGAATCTAATCCAAATCAGAGCCCTAATTTGGTTATGAACCACAAAGACAGATACTAATCCAGGTTCAAACATTACCTGCCCGGTGTCCCTGCAATATTTAGGGGAAGTTACTGACAATGAATTTGTCCATAAATCCCATAAAGCCCTCACACTGTTCTGAAATTGCAGGTATGGGTTCTAAATTTATTCATTGCGCTCCTCCACATGTACTCATCATATCAGGGAAGATACATCTGAGTTTGTAAAAGTAGCATTCTGTTCAAAGCAGGTTCAAATTTTGCATTTGTTCTCAAACCACAGCAATGACAGATTTTATTAGTCATGATTATATATATAGATACATACATTTTGGCATTTGACTATATGAGAATTAAAGGGTTTCATGTGTGTACCCAGTTTATGTGCCTCAAAACCAGCTATGGCTGTGAACTAATAAAAATGTGTTTACACATCCAAAGCAGGCATTGCTTTGGGCTCTTTAGCTTTGTGTTTGATTTAATTTATAATTCACCTCCATTGAGTCATTTCTGCTCACCTTGAACACATATATTCCTGTTTACAATTACTACATTCCTTTTCTGGCAAACCAGAATCATTAGAATCATAAAAACAAGAACAAAAAAGAAATTCTACTACTGTTTCTGTTACCTTGTTCTCATGAATACCATTTATTTCAAATTAAGAACACATGGAGCAACCCAGCTAGTCGCTGGGAAGTTTACAGAATACAATGTTATCGTAGAAAATAAAGATTTGTCAAATTTTATCAAATTGCTGATTTGAAATACGTTCCTTTCTATAAGTCTCTGATAAAATACATATTTCTTCCTATCCAATTTCCTGCCATTTTACTTTTTGTGTTGCCAGGAAACCCACCTGCCAGGTTCTGTGGCTGAAGGATGGAATTTCCTCCTTCCCCTAGCTCATTTCCACAAAATAGAAAGACAAAAAGAAAATACATCTGTGAGCTTCCCTGGAGGCAATCCTTATTTTTAGACAACTCTGAACATAGGAAGATAAACTTTAGACTAACTCTGGTAAATTCAGAACAGTCTCACAGACAAATGCCTTTATAACTCCAGTAAAACCAACTTTAATTTTGTGCCAGTAGATGTGATTTCATGTTGACATTCTTCACCTCATGTGAGAAGGATAATTCAATTTCACCATAATGTATTTCTTAAAATTTTGCAATTAAGCATGAAAAGTCTTTGGCTGTGGTTTGGGAATAAAAGCAGGTTAATGTATGAAACCCCCAAATGAGTTAAATGATGACACTTGTTCATTTTGCAGTGATTTCAAAGCATTATACTGGTGAAGAGTAGGTTTGTTATTACCTGGTAATTTTTATTTCAGTCTTTTAATAGTAGTGGTGTGTTAGGAAATTCTATAGATGACAATATCGCTCCCCTCCTGATTTTCTTGTCAATGGTGTGTATTCTTGAGCTCTTAAAATTATGAAGTCAAAGTTTAATTTTTCATTACCATGAAGAAATGGAATCACTGCTGAGAAAAACAGAAGGTCAGTGATAGTATTGGTATCATAATACAAACTTTATTCATACCAGATTCAATTGCATCTTTTTCCTTTTTAAAAAAAAAAAAAAAAAAAAGCTACTCTGAAAGAGCCAAGGTTTTGTACTTTGGTTCTCAGCTGGAATCCATCTCCTCATCCCTCTAAAATCATTTTCCCATAGTGGCTGTTTCCAAGCAGGTGTCTGTAAACTCTCAGCTGATACCTGCCCTCTTCTGGCATGATATGTCCTCTTTAATTTTTCTGCAGTTTGTCCTGCTTCTGCATGCTCTCTTTTTGTCTGAAGTGTGGTAGGCAATTGTTGCTAACTGGAATAGTCAGAAATATCACAGGACATGAGAAGGTGTCACAGAATAACCCAAGTGCCACCCTCCGTTCTGATGAGAGTGAAAGAAATTGTTTGTATTATAATACTGAATTTTCAGTAAAAGTTGAATGCTAATGTCTTTTTCTAGTTTCGATTCAAAGTGGATTGTTGTGTACTTAAATTTTATTGGTTTCATGGCACTTATTAGTTGAATTTGATATTGGGGAAAGTTTTTAAATGTGTACTTCATGTATATGAACTTACTGCTGGTTGTGATAGCAGGGATCTCAAGGAGACCAGAGGAATGACCATTCAGCCTCTGAACGTGGTGGTTCACAAATTGAAGAGGAAGCACGGGTTGAACCCATCAAGAAATCCCAGCATCGCTCTTCCTCAAGCCAACACCACAACCACCGCAGTGGTGTTAGAGGCCTTTCTAGGCAAGAAACTTTTGACTCAGAAACACAAGACAGCAGAGATTCGGCTTATGTAGAGCCAAAGGAGGACTACTCACATGAGCACGGTGACCACTATGATTCTCACAGGGATCACAATCATAGAGACGAGTCCCACGGGAGCAGTGATCACAGACATAGAGAATCAAGGCATCGCTCAAAGGAGAGGGACCGCGAGCAGGACCATAATGAATGCAACAAACAGCGTAGTCGTCATAAATCAAGGGACCAGTATTGTGACAAGGATGGGGAAGTGGTATCAAAAAAACGTAACGACACAGGAGAATGGAACAGGGATGTTTACATCCGTCAGTAACTTTTGCCTCCAGCAGTCTTGTGTTTCTCTGAAGTCTTGTAACAATGCCCCTTGAAAATATCTTTGGGTTCTTCACTGCAGAACATATGGTATCCTTCTGTATGCTGATTTGTATTGCTGTTGCTTGCATAGCAATAGCATGAAATAGAATATTCATATACTTATTTTTTTGGTTAGTGCTATATGAATTAGCGTAGTACAACTGCAGAGTTCCTGATGTTGTACTATGCCATTTTTCAAGCTGTTTTTTGGTAGCTGCCACTTGAACAATATCTGTTGCCATCAAGGTGTTGTTAGTGTTTTTTAAAAAAAAGGTACATTTGATGTTTAATAACTTCCTGTGTATTCAGCAAACCAGAATCAGCACATAAAAAAATCTAAAACTTTTTGTCTGCTCTGATTTTTAATTTGTATGCACTTGATTTGCATATTCATTTAAGAGCCACTATCTGTTGCTTGTACCTCTGGTGGACTCCATTTGAAGACAGAATTCAGTCTTGCCTTACACACAGGGGATCATAAAGTCGAAACCTATTTTCTATGTACTGGTACTGTGTACTGTATATACAGTTTATAAATGTTATTTCTGCCGACACCTTCTTACTATCTAAGTTTGATCACACTGTTTTAGAGTCCTAATGCCAAGTCAGCAGATTTGCTTTTGAATTACTGGCAACTGGAACTAGCCTCATTTAGGAAATCTGTAACAGTGTTCAATCTAAATACTTTTTCTTCTGTAGCAGAAAGCTTATACTTATTGTAAATACGAATGAGTGCTTGAGATAAAGGGTCTAACTCTTATACCTTATGCTGTCCTTGCAAACCCAACTTTGCATTTTAAATTGATGGTAAAGATAATGAATTTACCACTATAAATTATTATTTTCTGTACAGGTTACAAACTTGCAATGGACACAGGTTAATATTTGTTCTATTGTCAGAATAATAGAGCACACATGACAGAGGTGTGTATGTGAGTGGGTGGGTGGGTGGGTGATGGATGGGTGTACGTGTGAATGTGCACGTTAGGCAGCAAAGTGTGAGAATCTACTGAAGAAAACAAAGGTTACTCAAAAGCCCAACAAGTCTGTTTCTTCATTCTGTCTATTAATTTAAAAATCAAAATTGCAGTCAGGGAATATGAGGGAGTTTAGTGACCCAGGTAATTGAGAAAGCATAAATCTGCTGGCTCTTTATTGAGACTTCAGGAGAGTAAAAACAGGCAAATTTTACTGTGAGTGTTTCACTGGAAATGTAAAACCTTTGTGTTTTAGAGTATTTGTTTTAGTAAGAAAAGTTTACACAGCTTGTGGAGAGTTATTTTGTTGGAAAATAAATTTTTGTAGCTTCTCCACTTTTTCTACACTTGCCAATTCCTCTGCATTCCCACTTTGCAGCCAGCTCACTGCTTTTCCTTCACCTAAACTGTTGTGCTGCTGGTGAGAACTTAGAAAAATGACTGTGACAAAATACGCTGTTACAAGCTTGCTAGAGAAAATGCATTGAAATCAAAGGGAGCAAACACAGTTTGTTTTGCATTGAACACCTGTTGCACTGGTAAGTGGGGGGAAATTCTATGTTATTTTTGACTACAGGTCCCATACCCTTGCCTAGTGTAAAAGCTGTTCTGCATCACATATAGTCTTTGTAGTAATTGTATGAACGAAATACTTTTTGTATTTCACTGTAAATAGCACATTAGGTAAAGACTGTAGTGGGATAATCATTAATTTAGCTGGAAGTTCTTTTTATTTATTATTTTAATTCTGGGAATATCAGCATTGCCTGATTTTAAATATCATTTTAGTGAAATGGATAAGATATATGGCAGGTGCATGTTTTCTCCAGTCTCCTATTCCAGCATCCAAGCAATTCAGTTTAACTCCCTTAAACATATTCTGTTCTCCCTCTCCTGCTTCTGCCCCTCTCCCTGATGCTTTATATGCATTTTTTATAACAACATAAGAGCGTGAAACTCTCCTGTCGGATATCTGGCCATTCCTCCCAGTGCTGCTGACTGTTGTGGTAATTCAAGGGTGGTATTTGGCTCAAAGCATGAACTATGGGGAACAGAAGGAAAAGGGAGTTTTTCTAGAAATAAAATTCTCAGCATTTTTCTAACCAACTGTAAATGACTTTATAGACAAAGGAAGCATAGGTAAGTAGATCTGGTGTATTACTAAATGGATATGTAAAAGTATATAAACAGTGGCTTTTGATACAAGAGGATTTTCGGGGTGTCAGTGGAAAATTACATTGAAAGACTGTGTTGTTTGAATCATATCAGATCACATGTAAATGGGAAGAGAAGTTATATTATCTTGCTTTATATAGCCTGGTTTTAACTATTTTACCAGCTTCAGTAACTGCTGTTGCTCCCTACAACTCTTATATGACAGCTATGGCCTCCAAGAAGTGATCTATGGATTCCACTTCAATACCTTGAATTTTTTTGTTCTTTAAAAAAAAAAAAAAAAACAAAAAAACACCAAAAACCACAAACAACTTTTGCTCCACAGAGCATTTATTTTCCACCTTCCCTGAAGTTTTTTTTGATGAAAGTGTGGCAGAATGTAAAGGCACTGAGTAGTGTATGAAAGCCATGGAGTAGGTAGCCATGTATAGACAAATAAATGAGAAAATAAAGAGCATAGTCCAAGCCCTAGTATTTAAGTACAGCCTATATATTGATTTATGACATATAAATATCTTATCACCAAAAAGGGCATGTCCCGATCCAACTAATGAGAGAATCATATTTTGTATAGTGCTGCTAATTATGTACAACTTACTAATGGATTTCTTAGGCAGACTCACTCAGTAGGTTTTAATTAGCCTTGCTAAGATACTTTCCTTCAGTTATTGTTTTAAGAGTGACAAATCATTTGCAATGTGAGCTTGTACTACAGATATTGCACAATACCACCTGCCTGCTGAGCACTACTTTGACAAGCACTTTATCAGATTTCAATAAGAAGCTTTAAAAATACTCCAACGGGAGAACATATCAGAGGTTATTGTGATGAAATGTCTTTGCAAAATTTTGCCAGTAGGGAGTTTAATATTATTGTTTGCATTAGGATACCAGTGAGTTCATATTACTGTATCTGGTTTCAGGAGCTTTGAATGTGAGGAATGGTAGAGGTCGCAGCGAGCTCCAGAGTTGTCTTATGTGTGCGTGGTACAAAACAACCTGTAAAATTTCTATTCAAGTGAGCTAAAAGGATAATAAAACCAGTGAGGCAGAAGAAAAGGGAGTAAGATACAATACTTAAGTGATAGATCCTGTCAGCTCTTGCTCTATATTTTTCTAAAGAACTTCAGTATATGGAAGGAATTTTGATGCATTTTAACATTTACCTGTATATATGTTAGATGTTAACCTTATTTTTGTATGTCTTTTCAAATGAATACATATCAGTGCTGTTCAGCAGCCCCAGTCTATCCTTTGTCATTAGTGTCACACAGACACCATGGGAGAAAGAATTCTCGAGGAGGGATGGGGAGGAGGTGAGGGTAACAGTCTCCAGGCCTGTTAAAGGACAGGACAGTGGGGATGAGTAAGCAAACAGGCTTGTGCACAAAGGCAGCATCAGGAGGAGTTAAGAGCTGGCAGAAACTATTTTTAAATTGCTACATACATTATTGCCTAGAAATTTAAAAATTCTTCTAGACTACTCATGGATTCTGTGTCTGGAATCAGGAGTTCAGAATTTGAGAGGAGTTCCACAGTTTTTGCTTCTAGATAGTTTATTCTAAGGATCTGGCCCTAAATAATGAAGACAGGTTTTAAAGTCTCAATGAGTTTTAGTGGAGATTTCTGTTTTTACAGAAATCTGTAAACTCTTAACCTATAGCCCTTACTATAAATGGAGGATAAGGAAATGAAATTCCACTCATCAAACACTGAATAAAAGTAGATACCCATTTTCACTTCTCCATATCTGGTTACTCAGCCTAAACGTGCAGTTCCTGCCCAGGTCTAATACCCTGCCCCTGACTACATACAGTCCTGTATGAAATTAACATTTTTAATCTCCGTTGGTTTGTAAAGTCATGTTCCTGTTCTGTGACACCTGCAGAGGCTTTCATGTGGTCCATTATCTTTCCCTTAGCTGGAATGCAGTGAGTGGTCTGATTGCTTTTCATCAGTGTCTGTCCAAAGTAAAAAGATTAGTGTAAACCACCTCCTGTGTTTAGTTGCTAAAGCCTCTTCAAGATTTATTTTGATTTGTGGTTACATTTGACCTCTGGTTACTTTAACACATCAGGCTGAAAGCTATTTCCCAAATTCTTTTGACTTTAATTCTATTCCATCCATGAAAATAAAGCACATTGCAAAAAACTTTATTACAGAGTCTAGAGAAAGAACAGAGAGATTATTTTTCAGAGTGCAATATAACATTTCTGGTGTACATTTGCTTATATTTATTACTTTAATGCAGATCTTTCACCAAAATTTTAGTAGTTCTATCATCTGTAAAATATGTAGATGCCATTTTTATTGTGAATGTTTTTAGTCAAATGTTATTCAATCAAATTTATTGCTTGGCAATTTGTCTATAATTTATTTCCCCACTTTTATATAACAAACCGTTACATATGAGCTTACAGTAGTTTTACAGACAGTTTCTTTTTATAACTTACCACCCTAGAGATGTGTTCCTACGCAGCCCAGAAAAAGATTTATATCAGATATAATAGAGATTAAGCTGCTACTTCTAACTCATCTGTGTTCTCTTTTCTTACTTTATTCTTTTATCTATCATGCTTACCTACTCTGCAATGAATTCTACCAGTACAAAATTGGATTTGCTCATATTTTTTTTAGTCATGAACAATTAAACATAAAAAGAAGGCTCTTTCCTTACATCTTAAACTACCCACTCCAAAGTAATTTCTAGTTGATGACCATCACCTGCCTATTTCTTACTAAAATATTCCCTTTTCATTAAAAAGCATATGAAATCCTATGATCTAAAAATTGGTGGACTCCATGACACTGAAACATGAAAAAGCTGTATAATAATTTCATACTATACCAGGCTGCCTATTTTAATATCTTTATATTGACCAAGATAAATATTTAGATTTGGCACTATCACTAGTCACTATTTCTGCAAATAGAGAAAACTACTTTTCAGACTTTCTTAAAAACAAGATCTGATTGCATGCCTAATCTATTTATTTTGTAGGGTTAATCTTTCATTACAATGACTATAACTTTTTAAATTTAATATATAAATATATAGTATATATATAAATATCTCTATATATTCAATTGTGCTTCAGCACCAAACACTGAAGCATAATGATTCAGTGTGTAAAACATTTTTATCAGGAAAGTAATCCTATTATGTATTAAAAATATATATAAACCATATATCA